TTCTAATATGTAACCCATAATACCGGGAAGCTAACAACAAAAATAATCCTAATGTTATTGTTTCATTTTAATTCAAGTTGGGATTAAAATGGGATTTCATCAGCTCAACCTGCTGATGATTATCTGGAAAAAGTTGCGTACTCCCGCCTCCGGAGGCCGGAGTACGTACTCCAAGCCCGGAGTACTCCGATCTATGTGTGGGGATGTGTGGGAACAACGCAAATAATGCTTGCGAAATAATCGTCAAAAAACTTTGGTTTGATGTTGTTGTTCACTCATGGGATGCTACAACAAAGTAATTAAGTCACCATTTTATGCTTATTTGGTTTTCAGTTTTTTCAGAATTTATTAAGTAGCTTCAGGCTACTTTATGCGAAGACTTTGTCCGTCTCTCTGTCCGTCCGTCTGTCAGCAGGATAACGGGAGACAAAATGAGATTTTGAGTTGAGGCAAAATAAGATTTTTAGTTCAATTTAATCTATAGATGAAATAGGCTTAAAGTAAGTGTTCCCGAGTTGTGCCACACCCCCTCAGGGCGCTCTAATTTAATTTTCAGTTTTTTTCTGTATTTTATTTGCAGCTGTTTTGGAATTTTGTTTTCATTTTTTTTTGCGATTTTACTTTATACTCTTGTTTACAATTAAGTTTTCAGTTTTTTTTAATTTCATTTTCATCTTTGTGAAATTTTATTTTCAGCTTTTTGCAATTTTATTTTAAACTTTTTGACCCAATGTGCCTTTTTTGCAATTTAATTTTCTTTTTTTTTTTAATTTAATTTTCAGCTTTTTTGGGATGCTATTCTCAGCTTTTTTGCAATTTTATTTTATACTTTTTTGAGATTTAATTTTCAGTTTTTTTGACAATTTAATTTGTATAATTTTTCAAATTTTATTTCTAGTTTTTTTAAATTTTATTTTCAGCTTTTTTGTATTATCTACAATTTTTGCAATTTTATATTCATCTTTTTTCAGTTTGGTTTTAAGCTATACTTTGCTAATATTACTGCAAGTAATTAGTATTTTAGTTGTTCTTCAACTTGTAAATTCGAAGCCAACCAAAGCAAAAAAATTTTGGATTTATATAAAATTTGGATACAGTTTTTTGGATCAATGCTAATTTAGCATTGATCTAACAATGCGAGATTATGTAATTAGCATTGCTAATTGCATAAATGTTCGGCTTCATTATGAGATTTTTGAGATTTTCCATGTGCGACTTGAATTTCCAAGTATCATTTTCTATTTCCAGGTTTACATGTTAAACATGAATTTTCGATTTAACAGTCCAAGTCAATGATAACGTTTAAAATTGCGCGCTAAATTTGGACATTAAATTACTTTTTCTCTAATATATAATTTTATGAATTTTTTGTTCAACCTGTCCCAAAATTTATAAAAACTCACAAAAACCCGCGGGTTGGGTTTGTTTCAGAAAAACCCTGGGGTTGTCCGAACCCTGGGTAGGATTGACCCCAAAAGTTGATATCCTCCTCATACGTCCTACATATCTATGTAAATATGATACCGAAAAACCGATCTCCATTTGGGGCTGTACATAAAGCATTATTCGATTTTGTCAATATTTTAGGTTAATATTTTTGAGGAATTTTGACCCTCATCCCGCTGGTGTGACCCAAAATATATGCCCCATGTCATAATTAGTACGGGATGTCTTGACCCCCATCAAATCGATGACATGCATTCTGCAAAGTCCCTAAGTTATTTTGGTGACTAATCACCAACGTGCTAAAAGTCTGCATGTCGAGCTTACACGTTGTCACAATCTGTCACATACCCCACCCCAGTGGGTGTGGCTCTCGACGACAAAACCCGTGCTTTTCCCAAAACACGGGTTGTAATATGTCGTTTTTCTCCACTCGATGAGGAGATCTTGATGCAATAATTCCAGAAACCACACCCCCAGTGGGCGTGGTTCTCAGAAAATTTTAGATTTCAACGAAACCTACGTGGCATTTTTCTAAACAAGAAGGTATTAGTGAATGCAACGTCTACTAATACATAAAAAGTACGAGGAATCCAATAAAGACAAATTCAAAGTCCCAACTTGTCGATCTGTAAAGCTAGCGACGACAAAAATCAAAAATCGCATAAAAAAATCTTAAGAAATTATCCATCAACGACAATGGCTGCAGCCATTAAATGGGAGGTCAAGATTTCAAAAATCTATCTGACGAGGGAAACCTCTTTGGTGCCATGAGCTCCCAGCATACCCACTATATACATTAGATGCAGTTTTTAATACTAGTCCGATGATGTGACAAAATTTCCGTGTTAAAATGACATTTGGTCAAGTTGTGACGATTTTAGTGACGCGCGGAACGGTCACTTTCGCCATGCTTTTAACAGCGTGGTACACTTTCACTACACGCTCCTCGCTCATCTCGCTTAAATCTCAACCATTCACTCATCGCGCACACGTTTAACTGTACTTACAATATCATCACAATTTACTATTTATAGATTTTCATGAATTTTTCGGTTCGAGTTTAAAAATTATGTTGAAAAAAATAACACAACTTCTTATGATTTTAAAAAGTGGAGGGATTTCTTCTTAACAGATTGTGAAATGCGCGTTACGATTTTATAATTTTTAAACTCGAACCGAAAAATTCATGAAAATCTATAAATAGTAAATTGTGATGATTTACTGACGTATACGTCAGTAAATAGCATAGAACACCAAACAGCTCAGATAGAACGGCACATCCAAGGAAAAAAATTCGAAACTTTCGAAATTAATTTCTCAGCTGTTCATGGCCATGGAGTCAAAACGTTCAAGGGTTAAGGTTCACTCATGGCCAACTATCATTGGTAAAAATTTGGAGCCGATCTGTTATTATCAACCTCGGAAGCTCCCCTCCTAAGTCCAAATGCAGTCAAATAAATTTCAAACTTATTTCTTTTAGAGTAACAATAATCAAAACCAGATGTTCGAGGGGCAAAAATATTGATTTTGTAAAGACTTGCGTAGAGTGGAGAGCATACCGTCGTACTAATTCTATAAAGACCGAAGTGCAGTAGATAGTTAATTTTATAAAGACCGAAGTGCAGCCATTTATTTATTTTAAAAAGACCTAACTGCAATTCCAGAGTTAGTTACTTATTCAAACTTGGATTTTAAACTGAAATACTAATACTTTAACAACATGAGGCTAATCCTGATATAATTTCAAAATTCAAAAACCATACCCTCTGGGGGTGTGGTTCTCGGGGCCTATTTTATACTAAATAAAATATTACATGCAATATATCATTTTTCTCAGCGCAATGAGGCCATTCCAACGGAATATTCCAAATTTAAAAACCACACCCTTAGGGGGGTGTGGTTCTCGGAGCCTATTTTATATCACATAAAATTTGTCATGTAATATATTTATTACGGGAATATTAATACAAATAATATTTAGCAATATTTCCTTTGTTGTTGGGTTACATGATTTCTTGGACTAACAATTTAGGTCTCCCAACGTATGCCCACAGATTTAGTACGACGATACATTTGTTGTGAAACGCTACGACTAATTCCGGATTCTGTTCGATAGGGAAGAGCTGAAAATGGGACATTGTATTTCTCCAAGATGGAAAAAGCGAAAATATATCGAAATGCGATTTCGAAATGCTACGAATGTCAAAAGATTCGTAATTTTTTTCATCAATACGAATCGAGCATTTTTCGGTGTTGTAAATTCGAATTAGGCTTCAGAATCTAATCCCGACTAACAATGCAATGGTGTTAAGTGTAAGATCCCGATTTAGTTGAGAAATTTTGAAATTAGATGGCCCATAGCAATACAGACAACGTTTCTTCAGGCAGTTTGTGCGATGGTCAGAATTTGCCAAAATATTTTAAGTCAAATTTAAAAAATGCACAATTTATAGAATATAATAGAAATTGAGTTTGCTTCCTCTGCCTGGTAAATATTGCCCATTTTTCAACTTTGACCTCAAATATTTTGACAAATTCTGATGCCTCAAGAAACGCTGGCTGTATTGACATGGACCACATAATTTCAAAATTCCAACCAAATCGGAAGGTTACACTTCACACCATCACGTTGTAAGTTGCACCGGCAAAAAATGGCTTGAAGGATTAGTAAAATCTGCTTAAATTCACAAAATATGAAGTCGGCCTAAATTTCGAAGAAATCGATCCCCCTCAACTTTTTAACTTTGCCTTGAGTGAATGTGGAGGTGGACAGTACAAATTCTTAACCATGCCGATCGAGTTATATACCTATGTACGTTTACATTCTGGTAATAATCGTAACCCGATTTCTAAGACTGTAGGTTAAACATTCCCTAAATAAATTTCCCTTAGAGAAAGGGAATCACACGAATATTGCAACACATTACAGGTCAAGCATATATGCATAAATTTATATTATTAAATTATTAATATATTTATATCTATTTTGACATCTTTCCATCCTTTCGTTTAAAATGATTTTTTAAACGGTTTTGAGGACTTGATTTCTAAAAACTCTACAGTTTTATTTATACTTGACTGGATATGTAATATATTTATATTATTAAATTATTAAATTATAAATATATTTATGCATAAATAATGGCAATGAAATTTTGACACTTAAAACTTATATTGCACTAATTCAGCCTTCCTCCACAATAACTCCAGAACATCAAACCAAGGATAAGCTCAAGGTTATGATAAGTGTGGACGTGACTGCAGATAAGCCAAACAATGCAATGGTTTAGTAGTTCATATGCACTTAATCGGCATTCTCATATGTAGATTCTGCATGATCCAACGTAGCGGGCCGTACATAAAGGATGTGATGGATTTTCTGGGAATTTTGACCCCAACCACACTCGTGTATTCGCCCCAAGCCATAATTAATATGAGTTTCATTGACCCCTATCTCCTCTAAAATCGATCACATCCCTTCTGCACAGTCTCCAACACGTACATACGTCAACCAGAGAAAACTAATCACCTACCTCACTGCCCTTTCATTTCGCAAAGGTCATCCGACGTGCCCAGTTGCATCCACTTAAACTCGGTAATATTACATCCGATGAGTCGAATCGACTTGAAAATATGTTTGCAGAATCAGAAATTTCTGCCAGGATGTCCAATAATGGGCACCGTTGAGGTCACCAATAGCGGCGACAAGGTCATCGAGGTGAACGGTGAGTTTGCATAAACTAATATGAATTTCTATAGACTTTTAAGTATTTAAGTACCCTGTTAGAAATCCGCAGATATTGATTTCTCGGTATTAACCCTTTAACATTTATGATTATCAACAAGAAAATGCTTTAAATCGGGGACGCTATAAGTATGTTGTGGTCATGGCGCGGGAGGAGAAATTCAGGAGTTTTAATAAAACTCGAAAAAACTGAAAGATCAAAAATTTAACATTGCGTTGCATAGGGAAATATCAAAGTTTTCGGGAAGAAAATCTTCAAATTTAGCTTGTCTAGGCATAGGAGAAATCCCTCAAAGTTTGCAACAAATCTTACATCGCGGAGAGAAAATGGTGAAAATCAATGACCTCCTAGAAACGACAATTGTCTTCATTCCGCGCCATGACCACGATTTTTTACAACGACTTTTGTCTTACTCCCGAATTAAACCACAAAACGACAATTGGCGTCGTTACGGTTTAAAATGTTAAAGTTGCTACAACTGGATATGTATGGAAATTATACCGGTCCGTAAAAGTTTGATACCAATATTGTAAAACTTTAATACCGGGTTATTACTACACCGTATTATTTATCAATACCACGTTGGTATATAGAGTCATAGATGAATGAATACCGCCTGGTATTATATTATGTAGTACTGGATTTCTAAGAGTGTATTTACATATGACCATACTTTTCTTTAATTGGAACGAACAGAAGTCTACATCAATCTGTGGGGACAGGAATTTATCAAATTCAAAATTTCATCATGTGCCCCTTACTGCTGTTTTTTTGGCGTCGGTTGCGTTTACCGTTGTACGGAAACGACAACATATGAAGATGGCGTTACCATTGTGGATGAGACGATTACTCTTCTTGATAGAGGTGAACTTAAAAATGGATTTAAATAATCATGCAAATTATGTATTACTTAACCTCTTAACGTCAATCGGACTTGTTATTAGTAAATATAATTTCCCTTCTGTACCACGTTGATTTTATAATCACATCTGATATCAATCAATTAAAATTTTCTATCAGTTTCCAATTTTCGAGTTTTTTTACGAGAAACACGAAAATCAACTTTTTAACATATGTACGTCGATGTAGAGAAAATTCCATAATTTTGGAAGAAATATATCGCAAAAAATCCACTTTTCACCATCGTGTTTTCCACAATATGTATATCAATGAAATTTTCTTTTTTTAAGAAATTTTGATGTCAAGGAAATTTAGCCAGTGCACGCATTTGTGTATTTGGTAGTCAACAGAATACACAAATGTGTGTACTGCATAAACTTCCTTGGCACCAAAATATATTTGAAAAAATAATATTTCTTCTGTATTTTGTGAAAAACTTGATGAAAAGTGGATTTTGTTCGATATTCTTCTTCACAATTTATGGAATTTTCCCTATACCGACCAATGTTAAAAAGCGGAGTTTCCTGTTTTTCGTTAAAAAACTCGAAAATTGCATACTGGATTTTAATTGGTTGCGATCAGGTGTAATTTTATGAAATCAACATCGTTCTGGGGGGAAATATTTTATTTTAAAAAATCAGTAGTACGAAAGTCGTTAACGAACATACATAGCTAACTTGAATTATGTAAATGAATCACCTTTTACAGCTCTTCTTCCAAAGGGGAGGCACAGCTTCCCATTTGAGTTCATGCTGGAGGAAGGATGCCCATCCACGTTCGAAACGAAGCTGGGTCTGGGAGGTCATGTCCAATACGGTTTGAAAGCATTTCTGAAAGTTCCCGGTAAAGCGAAGTATACTGACTCGTGTGGAATTAGGGTAAGATTTCGGCGATGCACGTTTTCATTTTCGCTAAAGTTATGTCCGTCCGTGTTGATCCGAGAAATTATCAACGGTTGCGAATCAGAGGTCGACGCCCACAAATTTTCGGCGGCGGCGGCGCCAGTTTCTGGTGATTTTTTCATCGGCGTCGGCAGCGTGGCGCGGCGTCGCCATCTTGAAGGTATAGGAAATCAAATTTTTCGGCGGCGGCGGCGGCGCGTAAAATAGTACCGGCGTCGGCGGCGTATGGTCGGCGGCGTCGACCTCTGTTGCGAATTTAGGGACGATATTCTTTTGAAACGTGTTTCAAAACTATTTATGAATTGTAACAGATTTTTGACCAACATAAACCAACTGGTTATTCATTTTAATGAATGCCACAATGTGGCAACACCCTAGTTTCACCTTTTGGTTATATGCGTTTCAGTGGTTTATTTCTACACGAGTAGTTTAACTCGCATTTGCGAGCCCTGTTTATTAGCCAATCTCAACCTGCCTCAAGTGGTGCGGGAATCAAAAAAGCAGATGCACACAAAGACAAGTAGCAATTATTTTTATGAAACAAGTTTATGTAGTGGCCCGTCATAACCCAAGGGCCAAGATCAACTTGCAATATACACACACACCACTACCAAATTCTTATTATTGATTATTGATAAGGTGGAAGGCATCTTGGATATCCGAAAGTTTAACCAAAACGGCCCACTATGCGTGCAACAAGCCAACAAAAAAGTGGACGTCAAGGTGCAACTTCCCAAAACAGGGTACCTTTCCGGCGAGCGTATTCCCGTCAAAGTGACCATAACTAATCTAAAGGGGTCTTCAGGCAATGCGGAAATAGCCATTGTAAAGGTGTGCTTCGCTCTATAATTTAGCTGAAAGACGCTCATGCTACACTCAAAGACACCCTGTGGCCAAGTTATTACCAGGCGGTGTATCTGTGTGACTCAGTAATTAAGTTATTATTTAGTGGTAGACATTCTTTTACTAAACCGGTAATAACCCCGGTCGCCAAATTGGAAAATGCTACCAGGAGGTTACTAATTTTCTAAGTCTCAATAATATAAATTAATCAATCAATCAACCAATCAATAATAATAAATTAATTACCATGCAGTAAGGTCATATTGATCTCGGCCGGGTAATAACTTACAATGGAGGTCTCCCAAAGTATGCTCACAGATTTGGACCAAACTAGCGTCAATCGATCACAAATATAATTAGTATGAAATTTGCAAAAATAAAAAGAGGAGAAAACGCACCCCCAAGGCAGGCAAATTTTTCATTTTCCATATTTACTGTGCATTTTTCCCGCTTTTTATGCAAATACCACCCCTAAACTTGAGCATTGGCAGATAGTTCCATTTGAAAATTTCATACTAATTATATTTGTCATCAATTGACGCTAGTTTGGTCCAAATCCGTGAGCATACGTTGGGAGACGTCCATTGTTAGTCACTGGGTTTCTTAGAGTGTAGTTTAACCTTCATAAATGTTTGTACAGAGGGTGGAGTTGGTTTCCCGAAAGTATGGAAAAAGCAGCAAAGAAGATATAACTTTGGTTAATTCAAAGACTTGGAACTGGGCAAGTGGGGAATGGTTAGATAACCTAGAACTTCCGATGTGTACCCCAACAAATTTATGTGGGGCTGAGTGCATTGCGGTCGACTATTTTGTTCAGGTCAATAAAAAATAAACCATGATTTATTTTTAACATGAATGTTAATTTATCAAAGTATGAAAATTTTGAATAATTTCGTAATTAATCCCCTATTTGATTGATAGGTTAACGTGAAAGGAGTCGACGTATTCGTTCCAATTGTCATTGGAGCAATTGCTTCGGCTGAGGAGAACAGCTGGGCTGGGTCACCTGATGGGTATCAAGGAGTCGAAAATTATACTTATGAAGATTAAAATTTAATATTTGCGAGATTCTGTAAAAATTGGAGAAGGGTATGAATTCTACAGGTATTTTGAACAATTGTGAAGAATTTATGTTGATGCAAGTATGCATATTAATAAAGCGTCTTTAAACTTTAATAAACTGTGGAAATCATAGATATAATCAAGTATCGCAGGTGGTATTCTTGTTTTTGCTCGACTTATTGTTCTGCTTATCGTTGTCGTCATTTGTCGATTGTCAGTCGTCATTTTTGCTGTTTTTTGTATTGATGTTCAATATATAGTCGAATTTCATGTTGCCCCGATCACTTTTTTTCATGGCGGGACCATTTGACTGTTGATAAAATGTGGCCCATAGTCGTAGGAACATTTTTTGGTAAAAATCTCATTTTACCCCTGACCACACCCCTTTGCCGCCAGTGGGTGTGGTCGAAATATCTGTGCTAATTTATGACACCACATGGTGCAAACAGAATAGAAAAATATTGTTCCGTTCTGACGTTATGTCGATTTTTGTTATTTCTGTTTGACCACTCCCCCTGACCTATGCATAGGTCAGTTACTACTCCCTCATCTCTCGACTCATTAATCTTACAATGGAGGTAGCCTAACGTATGCTCTCAGATTTTGGGCAAATTAATCTCAATCGATGGCAAATTTAATCATACGTTGGGACACCTCCATTATTAGTTACGCTCTCAGAACAACCATTTCCCGTAAGGAAGGTACTCATAATAGAATGGATAGTTGAATGGAAATCGTTATATAATGATTTCCATTCAACTATAATTGATTTATATAAATCAATTGTACTTATTGATTAATTCATAGGGTGTTATCAACATGATAAATTTTCATAATAGTTAATTAATTAATTAAACAAATTATAACAACATTTGTTCATTTTTATTGACACGATTTAACATTTCAATTTAACACATTCGACTCAGGAATCTATTTCACACAAGAATTTGGACTTTCGCGACAGTTAACAGTTTGGCAAACTTAACTATTTGAACAATTGAGCGTCAACTGAAACAATTTGACGAAAAGAATATGTATACATTGCTTAACTAAAATTACACACAGAATTTTGATTATGATCATTTTTTAAATAACTTGAAAGACAAACATATAGCCGTGGCGTATAGCAGAATTTTTACGTCAACTCCAAAATTTTGATTGAACCCTGGCTATTCGCCGCGACGATGACTGGAGACCCCTTTTTCCACACCACGGCCGACACAAACTCTCCAGCATCGTCCACCTTCAGCATGTTTGGATTATTATCAAATTTAAAATGCAACAAGGGACGAGAAATGTCGCGGTAGTAAATATACAAAGAATTATTTTCCGATCCACACGCGATATAATTTCCGTCGGTGCCCAGACCCACGAAATTCTTCTCATTGATATGTCCAGTGAAAGACCGTACACACTCTGTCGAGGCAGACTGCAAGTTCCACAGCTTCAAATTGCTATCCGTCGAGGCAGAAATGAGCTCATCCTTTGATGCAAACTTCACATAGCTGACAGCCTTCTTATGCCCGGTCAGGGTTGCGAGGGGTTGACGAGCATGGCGGAAATCGTAGTACTGAATGCAGTGATCGGCACATCCAAAGGCGACGATGAAACTGTTTTGTGGACAAAACTTAACACAGCACACGTTAGCTTTTGCTTCAATGGTGGCAACTGATTGATTCGTAATGGTCGTCCAGAGCTTGACTTTGGAGTCGTCGGATCCAGATGCGAAAAGGCGAGGGTCACCGTTGCTCCAGTCCACGCTCCAGACTCGCTTCTCGTGCTCGGTCAAATTTCTAAAGAAAGAAATTAGTTTTATTTTACGAGCAAAACTGAAATGTTTGGATTTAATTAATTAGACAATTAATTAATGCCTATATTATCTCCTTACTGAATTTTTTGCGTAGTCGAAGCATCCCAAATAGTAACAAAACCATCATAGTCCGAACTTCCTAACCGATTTTTATAATATCCGCTCCAGGCGACACAGCTAATCTTGGCGTTGCAGAGCAACTCTGCATTCGGACAATGAATATCAACCGAACTCCCAATCACGGTCGCGTACTCGAACAACTTAATCTTTCTCGTGACCCCAGCAATGGCGAAGAATTCACTGTCTTTATCAAACTCAATGCTGGACACGATGTTATTATTAGTTAGTAAATCTGCACTGTAAGACAACGTGGCTAAAGGTTTCAACCCACTGTAGCGTGAAATTCTGGATAATGTTGACCCAAACCGGTCCAAATCTTGGTAATCGAACGAGTCATTTGGAACGACAGTGGCGTCGTTCCTGCGGACATCGTGAAGATCCACTTTTCTCGAATCCATGTAAATATTAATCAACTCATCAAAATGTGAATGCATCCTCTTCCTCCGGGCCGACATGGATTTTTCCTTCAACTCTTGACACGACAAGACTTGCGTATTAAATCCTTCAATATCCGAACTCATCGGAATCCCTTCATCCCCAGATTCCAAATCGTTGTGAAGAACATTCATCCCTCCCCCTTTCACGGCATTGTAGGGACGCGAAGTAACCTGCGTTAAGTCTTGTTCAATCAAATACACCTCCTTTTCCAACCTGTCCTTCTCTGCCTTCTTCAGTTTGAGCAACTCCCCCAAAAATTCCAGCAGCAAGGTACGTTCATGAACTCGCGACTCGGCTGAGAGAACGTCCCTTTTCCGTTGCAAGATGATTATCAAATTCTCAATATTGTTCAAATTCAACTTGTGGACGTTCATATTTTGCAGTATTTCCGACGGGCTGGTATCATTTAACTTGGCAATTTCAGTCTTCGCATTCTTTTGTGTAGACAAGTACTTGATTACGAGTTGATCCGCGATATAGTTGGGGACAATGTTTTCCGTCTGTTCTGCCGTTCCGCACTGGGGACAGATCGGCTTAACGGAGAGGGACCGTTTTATACATTCCAAACAGAAGGTGTGTCCACACCGCGTGATGGCGGCTTCTTTCAGTACACCGATACAAATAGGACAATCATACTCGGACATGGCTTTCCCCCAGGTGTCCGTTTTCCCGTTGCAGATAAGGGCATGGGGGCGTTTGTAGAGAATTCTTGGGGCGGAGGGGCCGCACCGAGTGTACACCGGGATGGGGGTGGACGTGGACGTCGGGGTTGCCGTGGACCCCGGGTTGTTATCCGAAGAGGACGAAGTCGGTGGCGAATTTGTGTTCATCATCGACACAAAATCGTGTCCCCCTTTTTCCTACAGAGAAAAAATGAAAACAAATTTATATTTTTCTCTACTTCTGTTGGAAAAATTGGGATTGTTTCCGTACCAAAAATTCTCCTCGTCTCGCACCCCCGTGTCTTTTTGCGTATTTTATACAACAATATTGATGGTTTTGAAGAAGTTAAATGCTCTAAAATTAAAAAATCACTGAATGCAAAATCCCAGTTACTCCGTTCTACTCCAATGATTGATCAACTGCCGCTGATTTTTTGCGTGGTTGACCTCTCCCGCACGGAGATGGCGTGCACGGTGCGGAATTAAATTGCAGGCTCGAACTGAAAATCAAGCAGAGTTTGCGATATTCTTGAAAGTCTCAGGTTTCCACTTTTAAGACAATTCATGCAGTCGTTCGTAGCTTTTTAAAATTCGTAAAGTTACAAATTTTGCAAAATTTTAGTCATGTTTCGAAAGAGAAATAAACCTCACTCTGTAATACTAAAAAATAATTACCACTCTGTCTCAAACTGAAATCAACCACTCTTCGGAATATTCTTGAAAGTCGCATGTTTCCACTTTTATAATAGTGAGAAACAATAGATGAGACAATTCACGCAGGCGTTTGTAACTTTGTAAAATCTGTAAGATCCGTAAACTTATAAACTTTTGCCAACTTCTATTCATATTCTAAGGAAAAACTAAACCTCACTCTTCAATACTTTTGAAAGACTCGTGTTGTGCACTTTTAGTCGATTGGGGAAAGTGAGAAACAGTGGATGGGAGAATTCACGTAGTCTTTCGTAACTTTGTAAAATCAGTAACTTTTGTAAAGTTACAGATTTTTACAAACTTTTACTCATATATTGAAAGTCTCGTGTTTTCTACTTTATGTAGTCGATTGAGGAAAGTGAGAAACATTAGATGAGACAATTCACGCAGGCCTTGGTAACATTGTAAAACCCGTAAACTTCTTATAAAATTTTACTCATATTTCGGAGGAAACTTAGATTTCAAATTTTTGTAAACTTACGCAGATCAAGGGTATTTTTTACTTGTAGTATTATTCTAATAAATTTACGGATTTTACAAAGTTATAAAGAACTGCCGAGTGAATTGCTTAATAAATATAAGACGGGTATGTGTTTATTAAGGGGTGAAAGCCCTTTACAAGATCGTTATGTCTGTCTGTCTGTCTGTCCGTCTGTCCGTAGCTCCGATAACTTTTGAACTGAAAGACATAGAGATTTGAAATTTTGAACGTAAACTCCTAACGTCAAGGGACAGGACGAGTTCGAAGATGGACCCTGTAGGTCACACCCTTCAAGGTCAAAGGTCATGAAATGTCATTTTAAGGTCAATTTTACGGATAGCACACTTCTTTCACCCCTTGCTTACATGCGTTGTAACGGTTTATTCTAAGTCTTTTGATATCGGACATGACAAAACAACTATCTACATAGGATCAAGAAAATACAAAAATTATCAAAATCAGATCAAAATACCACATTTTTCGCAAAACTTTTAACTCAACAATGGGTGTGTCGACCAGAAATGAACTAAAACCCTTCACCTTCCCCACACAGTGTGGGTTGCACGTGGTATATATCACCTAGTGAGATTTAGTGAGATTTAATGATTTATATCAATCATCTCAGTTGGGGCTGAGTGAGAAATATGAGAAATAATGAGATAAACCTGTAGTTCATGACCCCGTCCGCTAGGTGGCGCTAGTGCGTGGCTCATAAATCTCACTATATCTCATATTTCTCATGTCTCACTATTTCTCATTATATCTCACTGTAGAGGTGAGCCGGGCCTGGGCTTTTCAAAACCCGGCCCGCCCAAGCCCGGTTCAAAAGCCCATCTCAAAAGCCCAGGCCCGCCCAGGCCCGGAAAAATTAAGCCCAAGCCCGCCCAAGCCCATTGGGCTTTTTGTGAAAAAAGCCCGCCCAGGCCCAAGCCCACCGGGCTACCCACTGGGCTTTTTGTCAAGGCTAGCAAAATACCTAGCACTCAAGATAGATATTGATGGGTACCCTAAAATTTTGAAACTTAAATTATTTAATAAGATGCAAATAAAATTAAACCTCTTGAATTAAAACTGCATGAAGAGATTCAATTTTGAATTGATTGCAGTACAATTGTCAAGCTTTGTAGTAGCTGGGACTAATTTCAAGTTCACAAAGTTTAAAATATTTTGAAATATGTGTCAAGAAATGATTTATTTGGTTTTAGCACAAACAATAAGGATGACATATACGTATGTATGTATAATGTAGTGATAGCAGAAAGGAACAAGTAAATCTGTTGTATAAGAAAACAACTGGTCGGGTGAAAAAAGCATCAAGAACTGGGCAGTTACGAGCAGTTAGCAGTTGAGAAGAGCAGTTGTACCGCAATTCTGAATAGTAGCACATTCATCCCAAAAAATATGAGACTGGCTTGTTTTGATTCGGGCTTGGGCTTTTCCGAAAAAGCCCAAGCCCGGCTGGGCAAAAGCCCGCCCAGGCCCGGCCCAGCTAAATTTGGTTCCTCAAAAGCCCAGGCCCGCCCAAGCCCGGTTGCTGACAGGCCCGCCCGCCCAAAGCCCAATGGGCCTGGGCGGGCCCGGGTTAGCCCGCCTAAGGCCCAGGCCCGGCTCACTTCTATCTCACTGAGATGAGATTTATGAAGGTGAGATGAGATTTCTGCAACCCTGCCCACACTCATCTAGAGTATCTCTCCTACGACATATATAAACGTCAAAATCTGTGATTTCTACCAACAAAAAGCAAGCAAGTCATAGATCATATCAGGGGTCGAGGTTGACACCACTGATACTTAAAACCTAGTGTTTGGTAGAACTTTACGTGAATAATGATTTTATTAATTTTTATCATTTAGGTGCTGGATTTCTATGAGTGCAGGGGTTTATCATTCGTAAAATTATGTACTATGCTCATAAAATTAAACTTGTGGAGGAATTTAGGCACCTCATGATATAATGAATATCATATCTGCTTATAATCGTCTTACCCTAAAGAATTCTATTATTTATTATTTCAAATTCACTGCTTGATTAAATCTTAACAATAATTCGATTTATTCTCAATACGAAATAATCTGCCATAGTCATAGATATACAAATATTCAAGTATCGACGTTGGTATTACGTATTGTTGTTGCTCTACTTATCGATCTCCTTTTCGAATCAATCTCACGTTGCCCCCACCACGCTTATTTATGGCGGGACAAGTGTTGTCCACTGTTTTGGCACCATTCTTATGCAATAATCTTATTTTTCTCTCGACCACACCCTTTGTCACAAGTGGGTGTGGTCGAAACTTCCGCTAATGTATGCCATCATATGGTGAAAGCAAAGTTGAAAAATGTTTTTACGTTGCGAGGTTATGTCGATTTTTTTATTTTGTTTGATCACGCCCCCGACTTATGGTGGATTTGATTGTAGATCAACGTTGTCTACAATATAATCTTAGCCTTCGCTTGAAAATTAGATGAAGTTTGGTGAAAATAAAATTGAAAAATATCTGTTTTGAGCAAGTTTAACGTGGTAACGAACGTCTAAAGTATTCTCATAAAGCACCTGCGATACTTAATACGACCTCCTAATTCCTACGACCCACTTAACCAAGGGCTGAATGCTGTGTGCCATGAGTGTCATATTATTTATCATTTATATATTTATTGTTTACATATTTTGTACTTGTACAAATATTTCTTGCCTTAACGAATCACATACGTTCTGTACAATCACGTAAATTTTTATATTCCATATATCTCGTCTGAAAGATATATGAACAAATAAACATGTTTCGTAGCCGAAAAGATTGTAATGAAAGCAAATAGTGCCCAGAAATAAATTTCGGTACCAAGTCTCGAGTATGCATTATTTATTCTAGAAAATGTAAACGTAATGTGTCCATGTTCTGTTTATTGACAAAATTAATGATTCTGCGATAAATAATTGCGGGAATCCGCTTCAATGGTTAAAGTTATACTAGCTTCGTATATTCCATACCGCACAAGCGAAGTAGTTCGATTGACAGTTGCTGAAAACTAAAGAAGACATAATCCGCTCAGCCACTAAAACGATGACGTAATATATGGACGTTGCCTTATGTTTAGTGACGATATTGTCTCCAACTTTCTCCATACATTCTAAATAAAAATAAGAACATTTATGCAGCGTTGAGTAAAAAAAGTAGTAGACACAACCAAAGGGTAAAAATTATTCAAGATTTTGCAAAATTTAACTAATCGTTGGGCAAATTTTGCACAACGGTTGGACAACTTTTAGCCAATTATTGACTCGAACTTGAGTCAATTTTACGTATTTTTATTTAGAGTGTAATAATTACACTGGAAGGAGAGGCATTTTATAATTTACAAACTGCTCTATTTTTATGTCCGTGAACAACGCGTGACGACCAATTTTATGTACTATTAAACTTTTTGAGAGTTAATTTAGGTTTCACTGGTATAGCCAATTGAGTCATGCGTACATACATATGAAATACGTAAACCATTTTTGTAAAATAATTACTATTTTTACGTGAATAAAGATCTAAATCAAATTAGAGCGACATGAAATGCAAATTTTTGAAACTTTATTGATAAACAAATTAGTGGTCAATGCAGACAATTTTATAGCGTAGAGTTCGTTAAGCTTGCAATTAAATACGAAACCGCAAACTATGCCCATTAAGATTGAAATTTAGTAAACGAAAAACAATTCCTTGTCACTTGAATGAAAAACATTTATTTGTTGGCCAATTTTATTTATTTCTGTTCCTCAGTTCGGTTGGCAGCTATTCCGTTTTATCTTTGACCTGAAATGAATCTATGATTAAAAATAGGCATCCATCCATGCATTCAGTAGCGGAAGTTGATACATAACTAGATATTACTAGCAATTCTACAAATTAATCAGTTGCTAAAATATAATTACATAATAAGCAGCTTCGTTGCGAAATTTCTGACAAAGGCGATTTTTTTATAAGTTTAATACCTATGTATGTATATGAGACACTGACTTACAATGGAGGTCTCCCAACGTATGCGCACAGATTTGGACCAAACTAGTGTCAATCGATCACAAATAGGATTAGTATGAAATTTGCAAATGGAACTATCTGCCAATGCGCAGGTTTGGCAAAGATATTTGCGTCCAAAGCGGGAAAAATGGGCAGCAAATTTGGAAAATCAAAATTTACTAGCCTTTGGGCACGTTTTCCCCTCTTTTAAATGCAAATATCTTCGTAAAACCTGCGCATTGGCAGATAGTTCCATTTGCAAATTTCATACTAATCCTATTTGTGATCGATTGACACTTGTTTAGTCCAAATCTGTGAGAATACGTTGGGAGACCTCCATTGTTAAGGCCCGGTCACACGGAGAAAAATTTTGGTTTTCATGAGTAAAATTTTACTTATAACAATTTTACTTACGACAAAAAAAATCATCAAGCCACACGGAAAATGTTTGTACAAAATTTGTATCAGTAAAATTGTTGTATGAATGGGGAAAAGCCGTGTGAACAGTGACGTAGGTAAATTTTTACTCGTAAGTAAACTTTTTTTTACTTTGAACATGTTCAAAGTAAAATCAAAATGTTGCATGAAAAATCTCAAAACTCCTATCCTTCCAACGCATTTTAATTTATCATCGAGTTGTGCCAAACTGAAACTCCGCTTTTTTCATAAATTCTCCCCAAAGATTAATTTAGTTTTAGATAAATAAAATAAGGTAAAACACTTTAATTTAAGCAATTTTAAATATTATAGTGCTACTATTTTTTTATTAATGTAGCGCTACATTAGTTTAATAGCCTAAAATGGACGATAAGGAGATTGTTGCTATCATCCTACTGAGGCGTCGACTTATTCGGCAAAGGTTAAAGAGAAGATATTGGATTCATCCACTAAATTTATTGCGGCCAACAATGGGCGAACATTTAAAACTGGAGATGATGTACACTAGTCATCCTGATAAATTCTTTGAGTATACCAGGATGACTCCCGTCCAATTTGATAAGGTACTTGATATGGTGACATTGGACATAACATTACAAGATACAAATTATCGTCTATCAATACCTCCTCGTCAACGGCTATTTATTGGCCTGAGGTAATAATATTAAAAAATAGTTTGCGCAAACTTGAGTTAAATCATGTAATTATTAAAATTCATTATTTAGGTACTTGGTGACAGGGGATTCAATTAAAACAATTTCAACTAGCTTTAGCGTTGGGCGGTCAACTGTACTGAACATTATAAAATGTGTCAACCAAGCTTTATGGAAAAATTTGCAACCAATTTATCTAAAAGTACATATTTATATACACTTCATTGTAGCGCTACAATTATATTTATTAATTAATGAGCAGTTTTTAATATATATTTGTTAATAGGTCCCAGACAAAGAAAAGTGGATGGAAATTGTGAAGGGATATGATGAAAAATGGAATTTCCCAAATTGTTTAGGAGCTATTGATGAGAAACACGTCATGATACGAGCTCCACCAAACTCAGGATCACTCTTCTTTAATTATAAAAGCTTTTTTAGTGTCGTATTACTTGCCACCTGCGATGCTGACTACCGATTCACCACAGTAGACATTGGGGGATACGGAAGACAAAGCGATGGAGGAATATTTAGTTCTTCAGCATTAGGACGAGCACTGGATGAAGGTTTATAGCAAATTATTATTATATAAAATATATATTTTCTTACATAAGTATTGTAGCGCTGCAATTATATTATTAATATTAATTTTATAGACCGATTGCAATTACCAAACTCCTTGCCACTCCCTGGAATTAATATTTTACAGCCTTGTACCTTTGTTGGTGATGACGCCTTCGCACTATCGGATAAAATGATGAAGCCATATGATCAAAGAGGGCTAGACAAAAAAAAGCGGATTTTTAATTACAGATTATCGAGAGCAAGAAGGATAATTGAAAATGTATTTGGTATTATGGTGAGCCGATTTAATATCTACAGGCGATCAATTATTGGTGACCCTGAAAATGTCATCAACACCATCAAAGGTAAAATACCAAATTGTAGCGATACAATAATAAAATATATTTTACAACATATGATTATTTTTACAGCAACTGTTGTTCTACATAATTTTCTAAGGACAGATGAGTTACTAATGCGACCTGAAACACGAACTTACTGCCCACCTGGATACTTTGACAATGATGATGATAAAAATGGGGAATGGCGTAAGCAAGGAGGAGGTTCTGGATTAACAGATTTCAGGAGGAACACCAGAAATAACTATACACAAAATGCAAGAATAATGCGGGATAATTTATGTAATTATTTTATGGGTGCTGGAAGTGTTGAATGGCAAGAAGAGAGAGCTTTTTTTAATGTACCTGCAGTGTAGCGCTACACAAATAAATACAATAATTTAACAAATAGTATTCTATAAAATATGTAACTTTATTTACACCAAATGAATTGATTTAGTTTTGGTGATTAGGATTTGGATAGAGGGAGATATGTATGACATTTTGAATTTGTAATTTAACGTAGCTTGACATCATAGGAGTCATATTCCGCAATTGATTAGCAATAGATAGCCCAAAATGATAATGCTCATCCTCATTCTCCTTAGGGCGTTTTAGAAAACTCACCAACTCTTTGTCAACTTCCGATTCCTCTGCCTTCCTTTTTCTGTAACCAAATAGCTAATTAATTAGTTTAATAGCGACTGGATCTAATTACCAATTACAACTTATGTAATTCCAAATTATAAAGCTTTACGTCAAGGTGGTAAATTTTTGAATAACAGCTTATGAAACGTTGTTATACGGTTATTTATGCCAGGATTGGTTAGTTTTTTACCTGGTAAACTCTGAGTTCGGGACACACCGTGCAATCATCGGCAGCCTGGCCCCCCTCGGGAAGATGGACGATGGCAAAAAAGCAGACGACCGTGGCGAGGAGGAGGACCAAGGTGGAGGACATTATAAGAGTTCGTTTTCTGGTAAAAAAAAATGTTTCACTGAACGAAACAATGTTACATTAGAAACACCTCAAAAGCAGTTTATTTAATTGACGAACATATATTTACGGACTGATAAAGAACAAGGGAACTAATTTTTTTCTGAAATTTCACTACGGAATCCGATGGTGTGAAGTGTAATGTAACCTTCCGATTTGGTTGAAATTTTGAAATTATGTGGTCCATGTCAATACAACCAGCGTTTCTTCAGCCAGTTTGTGCGATGGCGAGAATTTGGCAAAATTTTTGAGCTTAACGTTGCAAAAACGGACGATTTTTTACACGAAAAAAAATGGAAGTTGAGTTTGCTTCCTCCGTGTGCGAAAAATACCTCGTCTTTCAACTTTGACCTCAAGAACATTGTCAAATTTTGACCATCGCACACGCTGCCTGAAGAAACATTGGTTTTATTGACATGGCCCAGATAATTTCAAAATTTCAACCAAATCCAAGGGTTACACTTTACACCATCGCATTGTTAGCAATGAAGCCATTCTTTTCCTGTTGGACTCGTTAGCAGGTTCGCAAAAGTTCTGCTTGAAACTAAATTTGTGAACTTGCTTCAGACTCAGTATTTACATGGTTCCCTAAATATGTTTCACAAATGTGGAAAATCTTGAAGCCAGGAAAATCGATGAATCCCCAATAGTTACAAAAAATTTAGGAATATGTATTTCTCATCGAGAGTTTTGAAGCACAAAATTTACTGAAGTGCCTTCGTTGCTTCTTAAAATTCGGAATTTCGAAAATTTATGTTGTAATGCGAACTCGTAACCTTAGGGAACTAAAAAGGGACACTCACGACCTGTCGTTTGAGTCCAGAGTACCCACTATGTTTTTTAGAATCTACTAGGACCCCAGATGAATGATTCATTCATATTTCCGTGTAAAACTCATATTTGGCGCCATGCCGTGGCGCCAAATTTGACAAATTTGAATGTTTTATTTTTGAAACCGCCATAACTTTTGAAATCCTGGACGGATTTTCAAAATTTTTTGCAAAAATCATGACAAGGAGTTCAACTTTCGTATCACATGAAATTTTTTCCAAAATCATCGCTTTTAACTTTTCGCAAAATTTCGTAATTTTCTTAGAAATGGGGGGTTGGTCGAAAAAATGCTAACAATATTTTAAAAATTAGAAATTTTTTATTTTTATTTTTTTCTAAAAAATTTCGATTTTTGTGATCATTTTAAGCATAAAATTTTTAAAATCCGACATAAGCTGGAAAACTTACGAGGCCTCGTAAGTTTTCAAACCCTCGCGAGGGTTTGAAATTGGTCGAAAATGCAAATTTTTAAGTTTGGCGCCACGTCATGGCGCCAAATATGAGTTTTACACGGAAATATGAATGGGTCCTACATCAGGACTCAAACGACAGGTCGTGAGTGTCCCTTGTAAGTAATTGAGGCTTTCCATTATTTCTGCGCATCGTAGAGTAAGTTGCTAGATTTTGTCTGAAAAGATCACATTACGATTTTTACGAAGCTCGACAACTTATTCTTTGCCAAAAACTATTGTACAATACTAAATATACCAAGAAATGAGGAATACCGTCATTATTTTAGGGAATAATTAGCTATAATCTTATTCTGGATAATTGTTGTTCTTTACGGGAAAATAAGTCCTCGTCTTTAAAAGACTTCTGGGAAAAATTTGCTCCCTTCAGTTCTTTACCAGTCTATGCTTATCTAGAGTGTTATGCGGTTAACGACGTTGGCAAGTTTGACAGATGGTATGTCTAACTAATTCCGGGCATTATTTGAACAATGACGAGTTTGATGATTTAGGTCACATTTGTTGTTTTTTTTGTACACATAAACAATAGAGAAATCGGGGCCGCACTTCTTCCTCCTACACTCTTAGAAATTGGGATACGATTATAACCAAAAGATAAACGTACATATGTGACTCTACCGCCGTGGTTATGAATTTGTCATCTATGGATGACAATTGTCACCGGCTAATTATAAAGTTTTACCGACTTGGTATTAAATTGTTACCAGAGCTAATAAATTGTAACCAGTTGGTGGCAAATTCATAACCACGGCGGTTGAGTCATACACATTTACTTTCTGGTTATAATCCTAACCAAATTTCTAAGAGTGTATTGTGCAGAATGAATATCTATTAGCGTAAACCTCTCAGGGTTCGCCATCCCGGGTTTTTGTGGGTTGGGGTTTTTGGGGTTCTTGCTGGTTTTTGTGGGTTTTTGTGGGTTTTTCCGGGGTTTTTGTAGGATTTTGAGGCAGATTGAAACAAAATCCCTTAAACTACAACTGAGGAGGGGAGCTTCCGAGGTTGATAATAACAGATCGGCTCCAAATTTTTACCAATGATAGTTGGCCATGAGTGAACCTTAACCCTTGAACGTTTTGACTCCATGGCCATGAACAGCTGAGAAATTAATTTCGAAAGTTTCGAATTTTTTTCCTTGGATGTGCCGTTCTATCTGAGCTGTTTGGTGTTCTATGCTATTTACTGACGTATACGTCAGTAAATCATCACAATTTACTATTTATAGATTTTCATGAATTTTTCGGTTCGAGTTTAAAAATTATAAAATCGTAACGCGCATTTCACAATCTGTTAAGAAGAAATCCCTCCACTTTTTAAAATCATAAGAAGTTGTGTTATTTTTTTCAACATAATTTTTAAACTCGAACCGAAAAATTCATGAAAATCTATAAATAGTAAATTGTGATGATATTGTAAGTACAGTTAAACGTGTGCGCGATGAGTGAATGGTTGAGATTTAAGCGAGATGAGCGAGGAGCGTGTAGTGAAAGTGTACCACGCTGTTAAAAGCATGGCGAAAGTGACCGTTCCGCGCGTCACTAAAATCGTCACAACTTGACCAAATGTCATTTTAACACGGAAATTTTGTCACATCATCGGACTAGTATTAAAAACTGCATCTAATGTATATAGTGGGTATGCTGGGAGCTCATGGCACCAAAGAGGTTTCCCTCGTCAGATAGATTTTTGAAATCTTGACCTCCCATTTAATGGCTGCAGCCATTGTCGTTGATGGATAATTTCTTAAGATTTTTTTATGCGATTTTTGATTTTTGTCGTCGCTAGCTTTACAGATCGACAAGTTGGGACTTTGAATTTGTCTTTATTGGATTCCTCGTACTTTTTATGTATTAGTAGACGTTGCATTCACTAATACCTTCTTGTTTAGAAAAATGCCACGTAGGTTTCGTTGAAATCTAAAATTTTCTGAGAACCACGCCCACTGGGGGTGTGGTTTCTGGAATTATTGCATCAAGATCTCCTCATCGAGTGGAGAAAAACGACATATTACAACCCGTGTTTTGGGAAAAGCACGGGTTTTGTCGTCGAGAGCCACACCCACTGGGGTGGGGTATGTGACAGATTGTGACAACGTGGAGGGTATCCTGGGTGTCGGTTTATTTTCTCGCCACGCAATTAGAATTTTGACCTTTGAAACTTAACAAGTTATTGTATTTTACATTTTTTAGCGTTTGAACCTGAATTCAAGGGGGTGTGGTCGTATTTGAAAATTATGAAAATGTATATTACGTAGAAACGTTTTCCAAAACCGTAAGATCTTTGAAAATCGGTCAACAACTGACAAATTGGTGACAATGTCCATATCCAACGTATTTGGCATCCACAAAATATGTAAGAGATCATTTCACATTTCAGCAAGAAAAAGCTCAAATTTTAAAATATATACCGTAATTTTTACTCTATTTCATTAACACACTGAATTTCAGTGAAAGTCTCATTTTGCCCACGACCACACCCCCTGACATGGAGGGGATGTGGTCGTCACTCGGTATTAAATTATGCTACCATGAGATGAAAGCAGAATTGATAAATATCGCTCAGATTGACTTGCTCATAAACTTGGTTTGATTTTATTGTTTTCAGTATAACCACACCCCCTGAGTTGAGGGGGTGTGGAAGTTGGGTCACATAATGCTGCTTATGATTCAGGCCGCCATGGGGTACAATCCAAGTGAAAAGAAGAAATTTAATTCCAAAAATTTATTTGACCACACCCACTTGGTTTAAGGGGGGGTCCGATTGACCCCACGATTGAACTTGTCCACTCCCACAAATTAGATGGTGATGCCCAAAAACAGATTTCAAAAATATTAACCCGTTCTAGAGATGTGTCATATACGTCAGTAAATAGCATAGAACACCAAACAGCTCAGATAGAACGGCACATCCAAGGGAAAAAATTCGAAACTTTCGAAATTAATTTCTCAGCTGTTCATGGCCATGGAGTCAAAACGTTCAAGGGTTAAGGTTCACTCATGGCCAACTATCATTGGTAAAAATTTGGAGCCGATCTGTTATTATCAACCTCGGAAGCTCCCCTCCTTAGATTTAAAATGTATACGCACTTATTAAGGGGTTGCAATTAAGGGATTCAATTATATCTACTGTAAACCGGTCATCAACGGACACTCCCCATATTAATATAAAAAATGTGCAGTGAGGATATAATAGGAAAAGTGAAAGGATAAGGGCTTACTTTTAGTACTTGGAGGGGTCCAGATTAGGCCTTTTTTGTCAACGTTTCGACCTCTTGGGTCTTCTTCAGGACGACGAGGGTTGCTTCACATGGTGACTCGTGAGTGAATAGGAAAAAATGATGAGGAAGAAGTAAAAAAGAAGTAGGAATGTATTGTGGGATAGGAAGAAACAACCGTTATGAGCATAACGGTTGTTTCTTCCCCATATTAAAGTTGGCGCGTTGGGTTGCCCACCCTTAAATCGGGGCCTGGTAAATTACACTCAATGCTAAACAGCCACAATTAGTTGATTAAACCGGCATGCACACTTTCCATTTAGCACCACTTCAATTTCACTTTGGAAGAATATGTGCCTCTCCGCTATATTTAATTCAACAATATGTATTTACATATTTAATGACTACTAGGTATGAACTTTGCAAATCTTCTAAGCTAAGCGAGCAGCGAATATTGATTTAAAAAATATTCCGTCCCATTTAAAGCTGCTTAGATATTTACTTACAATGCAAGTCTTTTACGTGTACAACTCAGATCCCAATGGGACCAATTTTATTTTGTTCAGCATAAAAAATAAGCATACCCGTATTTTTTCATTTCTCCTAATGCTCTAATTTGAGCGCGTGGCGCGAATTTTAAAACATTTTTCAGCCAAAACCTCGGTTTTTAAAAATTCTGTAAATTTTCGAATTTTGGCGCGAATCCAAAAATTCGAAAACATCTCTCTTCAGAATAACTTATTTGACTTATAAAAAATCCACGTACATTATTTTTTGAAAAATTAAAAATTTGAAAGAATTTATAGTTTTAATGAATTTCAAAAACTGGCAAAAACTGGCAAAAAATTCTGAAATTCAAATTTCGAGACAATTGGATTTTTGTGAAGTCAAGTAAGTCATTCTGAAGAGAGGTTTTCGAATTTTTGGATTCGCGCTAAAATTCGAAAATTTAGAGAATTTTTAAAGTTTTGGCTGAAAAATGTTTTAAAATTCGCGTCACGCACTCAAATTAGCGCATTAGGAAAATCAAAAAATACGGGTATGCTTATTTTTTGTGCTGAACAAAATAAAATTGGTCCCAACCAGATCTGAGTTGTACACGTAAAAGACTTGCATTGTAAATGCGCCTTATATAAAAATAAATATCTTACACAACGAAATTGAAATCAATCGATAATTTTGTTCTCGAAATAGTTCCCCCAGACGAATTTTGTCACATCATTGACACGAACCTGGAAGCATGTATTACTCAAATGGAATATGTTTCCCAGTAAATATATTATTTCTTTCCCTTCTCGTCACCACCAGGGGAATCGATGTATTCACAAATTGTACAAGGCATTACACCTTTTTCCTCCCCAACCCAGGACATCCCCATGAAAAATTTAACATCCATGCGATCGACTTCATAGAAAAAATTATCCATTCCGAGTATCTAGATCGTACCATGGTATCTTCTCGCTACACGGTTTTCTTCAGTTGGCATACGAGTAGGCATGAACAATTCTACGATCGCGACGCACTTTTAAAAGAGGGGCCGTGTTCCGTCGTACTAATTATGGGAATGGAGGGCCTCCCCTTGGAAACGTTTTTTACCGATTATTTAATCGACTACCCGATAACTATGCGACCGACGACGTCGTACATTTTAATATATCGAGCACAGCAGCCGAACTTGCTTTCTGAGCCGGTCACGTTATACCAATATCCCGCAAAGGTATTCTTGTTACATGTCACCTTCCTACCAGACGGGCCAATCCAGTCGACACTTTATGACCTCTATGTGTACTGTGCCTTATGTCGGGTACCATTATTACCCGTAGAAGACTTTCAACCTCTCCCCCAGCTAGAACCTTACTGGGATCTGGATAATGTAGGGGTACGTGTAATAGAATGGCAACTGTTGACTACCAACGACCTAACAGGTTGCCTAATATCCCCGTGAACGGAGGGTGTTGACAGTCTGGGAAAACGTACGACAAACTACATGTCTAAGTTTTGCCCTACACATATCATTCTAGTTCAAAATGTTGCCAACCACTACAACTTCTCGAAGGCTTTACATTATAATTCCCAGCCAGGTGGTAACCTCCAAGGTGGGAATGTATATCTTAATCCGCGAGAAACACTTTCTGCAATTCCAGGAATTTTCCTTTCTACTATCGGGACTGGGGATATATTTTACTGTGCGGGAGAGTATGTAAGACGAGGTAATCTGTCCAAAATTGAGGTTTGGGTTTTTCCCTTTGATGCATGGACTTGGTTCTCTATCCTGGCCACGATATCTTTCTCCAGTTTAGTCATAGTTGCAAGGCAAAACGTTTATAAGTTGACGGGGCATGGATACATGTCAAATTTGTCGGTATTGATTAGAGAGCTAGTTCGTCAGCCAGCGCCGAATAAACGGCATTTCATAATTACTTTGGTATCCATCGTTTTCATCTTTTTGCTGCTATCGTACGAAAATTATATCACGTCTCGATTAGTGGCTCCGATGAAACGACCGCTTTTCAGGAGTCTGGCCGGCTTACTAGATAACGGATATAAACTCAACTATCCGCAAGATTTAAAAACCAGTGCTGTCGAAATTAAACAGTGGTTACCACCATCCCTGGGGTTGTCAGATTATAATGAGTCTCTGATTGAAGGTTTTTTCTATGCAAATTATGAAGAGGACTTGAAATTTATAGGGATTAAGAACTTTAAAACGATCCGAAATCAATTGATCTTTAAAGCCTTAACGGGCAGAAACTTGGCAGAGATAAACCTACACGAAAAATACGCGATAGTTGAATCTCAATATACTGGGTATAAGTTGCTCATGGAGACTGCATTCCCGGCAAGGAAGTGTTATACGGTTGACCGCTTATCAAAAATACCAATATTCAACGTATTCCGTATGCAAGGGCAGGAAGATTACGCCAAACTTGTTAGTTACATGAGGGAGGCGGGGATTCACAACTTTTGGGATGACTTGTTCAAATTCAGATATTCCTATTTTTACCGGGGTGTAATGAAAGTGGAGCAATTCCCGGAAATCGTGGACACGGGGATGATTACACTTTCAGATTTGGACGCAAGTCTAATCTCCGTGGTAACCCTGCTTTCGGCGGGATGCACAATTTTCCTTGTTGAATGTCGCACTTTAATGAGTGGAATTATTAAGGTAACTTACCAAAAGGTGAGAGTATACGTTACGTTATGCTGGGTCAAACTTGTTTTGCTCCGTTCGCGTCTGAAACTTACATGTTTGCTTAGACAACCTGGTAAATTTATTAAATAAAAAGTATCGAAACATATGTATATGTGTATCTATTCGTGGAAAAATATTTAATAATTGACAGAAATATTTACCTTGTGTGAAGAAGCTTTAAAAAAGTCAGGTGATATTGTGTAACTTGTATGATTGATATTGACAAGGGAACCTCAACTACTGTCACATCTCGATTTCCTTCGGAATACCCTTAATCGACAGATAATTTAGTGAAACTAAAACTTTGTCATAGAACATGCGGTGCAAAATCCCGTTTTCGCGAAATATTTGGTGAGAGGTGCATAAAAACCTGCCATTTTCCCAATGCTTTTAACATACCCCCAGCCTTTCGACTGATGAAATGAACTTTATAGAATATTGAAAAACTATATATGTACCAGTCCGCGTAATTTCAGCCCGATCACGAATATGCAAAAAGGTGATGCAAACATTTTTCCAAATTGCGAAAATCGGAATAATTTCGCAAATTTGAATTCTTCGTTCCTTTAAATGAAAAATTTACAAAGTTTGGCCAATATAAATTACATTTTTCTTATTGCAAAAAATTGGCAAATGTTGGCAAAAATTGAAGTTCGCAATTCTTCATGAAAATTAGTTAAAATAACCAATGCTACTCTACTTTAAAGTATTTTTTGAAATTATTTGCGCTATTTATTTTTGCAAGTTGCAAAAAATTGCAATGTGTAGCGTGATTTATCAGTTGTTCAACAAATTAGCTTTCCTCCATTGGTACATACGTATGTAAATGATAATTTTCTAGTTTCTATAAAATGATAATGAAAAACTGAAAATTGCGAACTTAAATTTTTGTAAATTTTTTTCAATAAGAAAATTGTATTTTACATTAATCAAACTAGCAAATTTTGTTGCAATTAAAGGAACGAAGCATTCAAATTTGCGAAATTTTTGCGATTTTCGCAATTTGTAAAAAATTGGCAAATGTTTGCATCACCGTTTTGCATATTCGTCATTGGGCTGAAATTACGCGAACAGGTACCTGTATAATTTTTCAATATTCCATAAAGTTCATTTCATCAGCCGAAAGGTTGGGGACTATGTTAAAAGCATTGGGAAAATGGCAGGTTTTCGTGCAGCTCTCGCCAAATATTTCGCGAAAAAGTGATTTTGCACCGCATGTTCTATGACAAAGTTTTAGTTTCACTAAATTATCTGTCGATTAAGGGTATTCCTAAGGAAATCGAGATGCGACAGTATTTGATGTTCCATTGTCAGTGAATACTTTCAAGACTTTGTAGGCTATATTCTTGCGTTCCAATTTGATTTTCATTTCGACAAAAATCTGAAATACTTATTTAACAATTCGCATTTGACTTTAGAAGCCTTACGAAATATATCTATCCGAAAATTTGACACAAACCAAGAGTTCGTATTGCTTCCATATTCGTTGGAAGTCAACATATTAGACAAATCGGGTCTGGCAAGTAGCAACTTTATCTCATCCTCAGTACTAGACGACAAATTGAACTCGAAAATCGAATTAAAATCGGAAGATAAAATCATTTCTCCGGATGCGGTGGACGTTCTGAAATTATTGGATTTGGTTGATCCATGGCACATGCCATACCCAGATCTTGAAAGGACAGACACAATATTGATTAGCAACCAGTGGGATCTTGAGCTTGCTCTCGTTAAATGCGGTCGAACGGTCCTAGTTTTAACAGAAAGCGAAATAAACAAAGAACTTCGTTACTTTGAGAAACACTACCTGTGGCTGACATTTTTCAAATCGGAGCGTTCTATCTTGAAGGGACAATCAGGATGGAGGCTCGTCACCAAAGGGATATCAGTGACGCCGCAGATATTTGGAAAATGGCACGTCGCAGGTATTATCCAGCTTCTGGGGAGCTGGCCGCATGTCGAGACGCCTGCAAGGGTAAACATTACGAGAAAAGTAGAAACTCTTGTGGGGAATTGGTCAACAGAACCCGTACGGAGAATTTCATTGGGTGGAAATCTTCAAGCAATATTTTATATTTACTTGATATCTATGTATATTAATATCTATTACCAAAATTTTAGTCGTAGAAATTAAAATCTATCAAAGGGTATGGTATGGCTTACTTTCTCTTCGAAAGCAGTTGATGCGAAAGAGAAAATATGTTGGCCAGTGGCCAAGTTACAAGTACAGTGCTTGTTTGGTAGAAGTAAGAATATTAATTAAGATAATTCATGCTATGTATTTATGTATGTATCATCTACAATATGTTATGGCCTACAAGTCAGAGGTTAAGCACACGTCCTGGCTGCCGACGCCGGAAAAAATTGTCGGGTTCCCCTCCGACGCCACCGTCGATAAAAATTTGACGGTTCTTTTAATTTGGCATAAATGATTAGATTTTGGTCTAATTATAATTATAAAAGTCAAACTTACAACAATATTTGTAGTCTCAACCTACAAGCAGATTCTCCATTTGATGTTCCCCATTCTAGTTATGAGAATAGAATAAAGTGTGTATTTATTATGCTAGTATTTCCAAAATTGATATGGAAACTATTAATAAATGTGATTAAACATACAGAATTGGTGATTTTAAAGAAAACGCATTAACAATTTTTAAGTATATCATGATTCTAGCCCGAAGGCACTGTTTCAATCTTCCCTTTTTCATCAGCATCCCTGAAAATTCGGACATACCCCCGATTACACTTGTACCGGGTGTTCTCCATATACACCATAAGTTGACCATCGATCTGAACATCGACCATTTCCAGGAAACAACGGATGCTTTCATCCTCGCCAAAAATGTCGACTAAAGTTTGTTTCATGTAAATCAGATCGTGCAACTCTTCCTCGATGAGGAGACACATGTTGTCGACGACGTCCTGGATGGACTCACCCTTCTCCACGACACGAAACACGATCTCATTATCTGGATGGTTCCCCGCCGACGAGAAGTCCTTGCCCGCGCCGAAAATGTCGTTAACCTTAAATTTACAATCTTAATGAATTTAATAAATTTAATTATTGCATAGAATTATAATTATTGAGGAATGAAGCGAAGTGAAATTTCTTTATGGAAATGTCATGTCCGTCCGTTGATACATTTTTACCCACGATAACCTTATCAGTATCTTAATCCACGATAATGAACACATTCGTGAATGACGATTGTGGGTCAAAAGGTCACGGCGTCACGGGGTTAAGATAAACGGCAAAGGATGTCGAATTTTTTGTTTCCACCGTTTTAGACGGAGTTGTAGACAGGGATTTCAAAAATCGACATAATTTTGACATGTCCTGACCGCGTGGCCGTGTCGCCTTGTGGTTTTCATTTGCAAGCATACAAACGGTTTACAAATTAGGGCTTTTTGATTACCCAGGCCACGTTGGTTAACGCGATGGTTATAATTCTCTTGAAGACCGGATGTCGTCTCACGTTTTGCGAAACGCGGATCCCACAAACGAACATCTGGCATTCTAGGCACACGTCGCAACCAGCGTTTCCTTGACGCCAAGCTCTGTACGTTCCGAGGCTGAACCTAAGTGTTTTTATGACAATTTAAGGTGCATAATTGTTCTAAAATTTATAATATCCAACCTTTTATCCACTCTGCAACAGGTAAACCAATCGTCATTCAGGAAGCAAGCTTGGAACGCGGAAGCAAAAGGTTCAATATATTCGACATAGTCGTCCCCCACAAAGTCCACACCGGCAGCAACCATTCTCCGCAATACCTAAAATTGAAATATTACCTTTTGTATGCATGATGGCGAATATTTTGTCAATTCGGCTGGCCAAACTTAGTGTAAATTCACTAAAAAAAAGGCTAAACCTTTTCCAATCAAATGCATGAGAAAACTTGTTGTTTACAATCTAAATCAACATAGATATGCAAAAATTCTAGATTTCCGAAAGGTTACCTTTAGTCCGGGGGCGAACCAATAATGGTATTCATCCTCCTTACAACCTGGCAAATTCGAGAAAATAATCCCTCCCTGTTTCTAAGACATGCGTAGTAAAATGTCGCAGAATTTGCAATTGCATGAATGGTCCCAAGAAAAAACATAATTATTTAATCCTCTGATTTGATTTTGTGATTATTCGGCCCTTTAAACTTTATGTACAATTTATTTTCGCATAAACCTTGCAAATCCCATGGAAGGCTGGCAATTCTTCGAATCCGGGTAATTCCTCTTCCACCGCCTGCATCCGTATGATCTTATCATACGTTTCATGCACGTACTGCACCGTTTTCACGTTCAGCCTCCCCGCAAACCAGCCATCTTCCAAGGCATCGTCAAAAAAGTAGCCGAAAATAAGGAACCAGACGTAGAAAGTGAACCCTTTCGAGTCCCAGGTGATGGTGGGGTTCCAATAAAGCGTGAACTGTATGGCGCCCGCAATGGTCGTCGGGACGTCGACCCGCTCGAAGGAATCCGTCCCAATTCCGCATTCCGCAACTAATTCGGCGAACTTGGTGGTGAGACCGGAAATGATTTTGGGATCAACTTCGGGACGAGAGAAGCGCGGCTGGATGCGAGGAAAGCGCCCAGAAATCGTCGCCTTGCCGAAGGAGGGGTGTGAAATGTTGGGAATTTTAAATTCCACGTATCCGTTTAATGAGGAGGGTTGATATTTAGCTATAATTTCGGGCATTTTATGTAGACCTCAAACTTTAACAAACGCATGAATTGGGATATTTTTTGGGATATGTTTCCAGTCAGGTTTGGAAACTACGGAAAGTCAGGATTATTTATTGATGAAAATTATGAAAAGATGTTTAGTTTGGAACTGGTAATGAAGTACTAGCCAATAATAATACTATTTTAGTGGTTTTATGCAGTTTACATAAATTACGACGCAAAACTTTAATTTGTAATAGATCTAAGATTAATTCGTGGACGAGGGTGTTGCAATACTGAGGTGGAAAATTGTACTACCCGTAGCGGTGATCATATGTAAATATTTCGGTTTGTTAATATTAATTAAAAATTAGATATTTTCTCAAAGATATATACAATGAGGGTATTCATTACGAGTTCGCGTGTTCGCATCGCAACATAATTTTTTCGAAATTGCGAATTTTGCGAAGCAACGAAATGAAGACACTTCGCAAATGACAGTTCGCAAAAATTTGATGTATGAAATTTCAAAAATTTTAAAGGGCAAAACTTTGGTAACTAATAGAGATTTATGGACTTCCCATTGCAAAATTGTCCGTATTTGTAAAAAAAATATTTTGCGAACTAAATACTAGCCTTGGAGATGGGCAAGTTCGCAAATTGATTTACAAGCCAAATTTTTTTGCGAACTTGCGAACTTTATTTTTTTGCGAACGTTGCTAACGATGCGAACTCGAAATGAATACCCTCAATGAATCGGCCTTTCCTAAGTATGTTCTAAGTTGGCGCTAACACGTGTCCTGATTTGTATTTCAGCCCGTACTAACCATTAGACGACCCTCGTAAGTAACCAAATTGTTGCTTTACGAGGGTCGCCAACCATACATACAATTCTGTATGTAAATCTATTCGCTACAAGGAATTTAAATGCTGTGCAGCCTTATCTTTACTTCAATCCTGACAACGGCATTTAAAAATGCATGGGAATTTTTTGGGTAGGATGAAATTACTACAGCGCGGTAATATGTACATAAGTCATCTGAAGAAACTGCGCAAGAGATGAATATATTTGCCTTAGCTTAGGTTAGGTATGTACAAATTTTTACTTTTCACAGTTTATAGGATCAGGTACTAAACAACGTTACATTTTTAACTGAAACATTCCCATCAGGGGATTATGTATGCTTACATTACTGCAGAATTCCAATTAGCGAAATCTGATTGCACTTTACCTGCATTTCCACATTGTCATAATCACGCATCGTCGTACTAATTCAATAAAGACCGAAGTGCAGTCGATGATTAATTTTAAAAAGACCGAACTAAAGAAAAAAAAATTCTAAAAAGACCTAAGTGCATGTATGTATTTACTTATTGCTAAATCGCGCTATATGTGAAGAATCGTTTTGGCAAGATATAGCCATAAGTAAATACATGCTTGCACTTAGGTCTTTTTAGAATTTTTTTGTGTAATTCGGTCTTTTTAAAATTAATAATCGACTGCACTTCGGTCTTTTTAAAATTAACTATCGACTGAACTTCGGTCTTTATAGAATTAGTACGACGGTATGTTACAGACATTTGTGATTACATACATACTGTGTTACATAAATATGTATGTAACGCAGACGTCTGTGGAAATCCACTTGTGGTATGGAATTTCCTATTACGACTTCACGAATGCATTTTACTTTTTTCTTACAATGCGATGGTGGGAAGTGTAACCCTCACAAGGGATACTCACGACCTGTCGTTTGAGTCCAGGGTACCCATTATGTTTTTTAGAATCTACTAGGACCCCAGATGAAGGATTAATTCATATTTCCGTGTAAAACTCATATTTGGCGCCAAATTCGACAAATTTGAATGTTTTATTTTTGAAACCGCCATAACTTTTGAAATCCTGGACGGATTTTCAAAATTTTTGGCAAAGGTCATGACAAGTAGTTCAACTTTCTTATCCCATAATTTTTTTTCCAAAATTATCGCTTTCAACTTTTCGCAAAATTTCGTAATTTTCTTAGAAATGGGAGTTCGTCGAAAAAATGCTAAAAATATTTCAAAAATTAAAAGTTTTTGATTTTTATTTTGTTCTCAAAATTTTCGACTTTTATGATCATTTTAAGCACATAACTTTGAAAATCCGACATAAACTGCGAAAGTTATGGGGGTTTGAAATAGGTCGAAAATTCAATCAAATCAAAATTTTTAAGTTAGGCGTCATGCCAAGGCGCCAAATATGACTTTTACACGGAAATAAGAATGAATCCTTCATCTGGGGTCCGAGTAGATTCTAAAAACATGCTGGGTACTCTGGACTCAAACGACAGGTCGTGAGTGTTCCTTGTCAGATAAGGTTACAATTTTGGAACGATGCAGTTCAAGTATGTATGTATGTAGATACAACCAGTGTTTCTTGGGACAGTTTGTGTGATGGTTGAAACTATTTGGGGTCAAACTTTTTGCCAATGTTGCTATTAATGCGAACTCGAAAATAAATACTCACTGCATTTTTCGTATTATGGTGCATAGTTTATGAATACATATTTATTTTATTAAGTATGTATGTATGTATATTCAAATATTTAAAGTCGGTAAGTAAACCGTACAAAACTTTTCAATTAAGTTTCGGCGATTAAAATTTAAAAAATCTCTTTATCCTTTGTCGACCTAAATGCAAAATCAGACAGATTTAAATATAAAACTTGAAATCCTTTAAGTATTCACTTTCACAAAATGATAAAAGGTCACATACAAATCTAAAATTTTAATTCACGTGTTATCCCAGTTTAAAAAATCTATGCAAACAACGACTTACCGAATATTACATATTATTTACGACCAGGTAAATTTTCTACACAATTCGGTACGTAGTTTCAAGACGAAGCTTAGATTCGCCCTCTTCTTGGACCGGAGTACCAAATTCTTTTGCCATTTTGGCCGGAATGATGACGTAGAATGCTGAATGTTCCATGTATTTTGGTCGGTCATGAAATGCAACAACTGGAATTGACCACGTGGCTACGACCTGTGAAATGTTTACGTTTATGATTTGCAGGCCCCGTTTTAGGTATAGGCGAGCTAGGCAACCGCCTAGGGCGCCAACTTGCTGGGGGGCGCCGGCAGGCGCCCGTATACACTAGATAAAAACGGGTTTTGAAATGTCAGAATTTGTCCTGGAAGAGGGCATTTAAGAGGCTTAACTCTTCTGAAATAAGTGAAAAAAAAACTTTATTTGTAAGTATTGGGCGTACTCACGACAACTTTTTATTTCGCAGCGCAACTCATTTTGCAAACTTATGAAGATCGAAATATTTCTGTTGTGAGGGGATTCGCAAAATACGACTTCGCAAATATCTCTAATTTCGCAAATCTAGTGAAAAATAGTAGTTTTGGCATTGTTTCCATGGATTTCTGTAACTTCCCTTACTGAAGATGGTGAGGATGAGTTTGCGAAATAATTTTGCGAAATAAGTACATGCCCAACTGCTGGGTTAACTTGCGAAAAAAATCCCATGGTTTTCCAGCAAAATTTTTGCGAAATCTCGCATATCTCGCAAGACTTCGCAAGTTATGTTGCTATGCTCAATTTGCGAGATATGCGAGATATGCGAAGGTTGATGTGAGTACGCTCATTGTTCACAAATTTGTGTTTGAAAATACTCCCAGTTTAATTTCTGCATACGGCAAATTCTTCGTTACACTTATTTACAATGTACAAGTGTGAGATGGTTACCTCCGATTTTGACTAGACCAATTTTAAATTATTCACAGTCAGAAATAAACTGGCTCGTACTTTTACGTTGGCTTTAATGCCCGGAAAGGAATTTGTGTACATTTTCATCCAAAATCTGGATTACAGATATTCAATGGTATCACTTTTCGAATTTAACCAGATCTGCAAAATTAGGATTTCCTGAAATTATAAAGCTTTATTTAAAGAGAACGTAAATGTAATGTAAAAAAAATAACGTTTTGCATCTTTGCCGATTAAAAAATTCTCGTAGCATGAAAGTCTTAAAGTTTAAAAGTATTTAAAAATGAATTTTTATAATCTCAGGTAATGAGCAAACAATGTGCTTAATTTTTGAAATAGTGTTTAAATTCGATTCGAAAATCCACATTTTGGCTGCAAATTTATTAAAAAGTTCCACCACATTCGAAAACACGCGCATTCTAAATAGAAAACGAAAATTATCTAAACTTATGTACTTTATGTATGCGTCCGCTTATTTCTAAGCATGCATATTTTTACAATTGTCCCGTCAAAATCCGGGATAACCACCTTACATCTCTCCGTTGGTGGTATGATTTTAATTTTTACTAAGCAAGTGAGAAATCTTTACGTGGTTTCTGTGCCATAGCAATATTCATTTATTTTCGTCAGGATTAAAAATTTGTAATTGAATTTATTGAAAAATTGCTGATTTGTGCAAATGAATGCACATTGCAATTTGTGTACGGTTATATTGTTTGACGTATTGCGGAGTAAAAATCTCCATGGAACGGAGACAGAAATACGAAATACAAAATACGTACTTTGGCCTTTACGTACGGAATACGAACGGAACGCTTTGAACTCATAGAGCGAGAAATTTTCCGTCCCACGAAAATTTTTCCTATGCAATAGTAAAAGTGCTTGCAAGCTCTGACGATGCGAGTACGTAGGGCCATGGGGGCGCCATTAAAGCTTTGCCTAGGGCGCCAAATTGTCTAGAACGGGGCCTGATGATTTGAAATCATTACGTCATTTCGATTCATAAACAAAATAACGGTTACTTATGAAGGTAATGGCGCCATGGGTCTTGCTCCGATTTTGACGTACCCACGATAATCATGCATGTCGCCTTAGGTAATTAATTAAGCACAGGATTTTTAATAATGCTAAATTTCAACGAAGTTATGGCGGAATCGGTGAGAAAGAAGTTGCATTTTTATCGTAAAATTTTTTTGTGGGAAGAACAAAAATGCAAATTTCGCATACGGATTCCATCATAAGTTCGTTTGGCGTTATGAAAAATCCTGATTTGAATCCATTAATTAATTAATTAATTAATTAATTAAAAATCTGAATCCAGTTATTAATTATGTACACATTTATTTATCTAAGGTTCCATAATTATCGTGGTTTCTTCAAAATCGGAGCGAGACCGCCTTGTTCACCTTCTTCTTCCCGCCTTCGTGTGTTCAAAGTCAAACATGTATTCCTCCGCGGTTTCCTTACTACCCAACACGGTCATCCAAAAGTAAACTGAAGCATCTTCACCAATATGGCTGAGTTGCAGAAACACTTTCCCATCCTTTTCAAGAATTCCGATTGGAAATAATGCTCCAGCTTCGTCTGAGCAGGGAAAGGTTAGTAATTAAAATTAATTTTCGGAGCGTTGGCGAATCCGATCCGTTGGGTTTGATCGGATTTTTTATCCGACGATTTAGTACAAAATAGATCGGATCGGATCCTGTGGTTATAGCAAATGGTCGAATAATCTCGGATAATCGGGTCTGCTCCGGATCGAATCCTTGTTACACATATTACAGATAAATTTGCGGTTTATCTCGGGTAATCCCATCAAATCGGATCGGATGACCAACCCTAACCGCCTCTTATCTCTTCAAATTAAAAGATACGCGACATTTATTTACTTACGGACAATATTCCCATCCGTCAACATCAACGTGAAATTTCTGGTGCCCCCGATACACTTGTGGCGATCTTGTAAATGCTTGGCGTAATCGGACATGGCGACCTCAGCTTTCCCACAGACTTCATTTTTAAACTCGGTGCAAATTATTTCGCTTAGTGATAAATAGTAAAATTCCATTAAGATTACACAAGTTTAAAATTCAATAACATCATTAATTCTAAATATGTATGTATTTGCTTATTAGCGTACCGGTAATAACAATTTTTGAGATGTGTTTTCATCTCAGCAGCAGCTACGATTTCTTTGCAACCCTCATTTTCGTTCCCACATGTCAATTTGAAGTCAAACTTTGCCGTCAAAAATCAGTTAGTTACGCAAGTTTACGTTGATAAGGTAAGAACTTTAAGTAATGGCAAACAAACCTGTCGAGAAAGTCGTTCCGCAAGGTCAGACATCTTCAAATCCGCCTGACACAGGCCACACTTTTTTACTTTTTCGACACAAATGCCGCAAATTATGTGACCATTGGCGCAGCTGTGGATTGGCGAGGCTGGCTCATCCAAACAAATCGTGCAGTTCAGAAAGTCCCCCAAATCTCGGGGAGCACGTGACTCTACCATCTGAAAGGGTAACGGTGTAGCTTACTTATTCTATGAATTTTGACAAACAATTTTACAAACGTACATGATGTTGATAACAAACCTGGAAACTTAAATTTTAAAATTGAATTGATTAACACGTATTCTTCAGGTGATCCTATCTAGTAACAAATACACCTCAGTCGGAATTTTATATCGAGACTTCAAACTTTTCCCAACATAATCAACACCGCGGGGTATTACACAATTTGTGAACAGCAATTTCTTGTAATTTTGAAAAAGATTGCTAAAAAAATATCAAATATTTCCACTGGGTATTAAACTTACTTATAATTATGTACTACTCGTTGAAAATCAGCTTTTGTGAAAGTATGCATATATCTATATGAAGGGTTTATCAGTGACTCAATACCAATAGTAAATCTAATCGCCGTTAAATATTTCAGCGAATCAATGACTGCGTTCTGACTTGTAATTATTGTTCTCAAGGTTGGACCGATATCTTTGTCGGCTAGGCACACCGACAAAGATATCGGTCCAACCTTGAGAACACTACTTGTAATCAACCACGTATGTAGTTGTGGGTGACGTTATCTATCTACATACCATTGGGCTTATCACTCATTCACATAACTCAGCAGATTTGTACCCGCATGTAATGGAAAGTACTATGCATGTGTGGCTGCCTGACTGTTTAATCAACTAACGAGGCATGGATATAACAACACAGAAAAGTCTGCACGACCTTAAGTCATCTTTGCCAGTCTGGTCGCATCTGTTACATGGAAGTTGAAGTGCGAAAACTTAATGATATCCCCTTACACGGCATTTAGGTACCATGAAAGTAGTCTTGTTCGAAGACAGTTTTACCCCAATCCTATCTGTTCTGTACCATGCCTAACGTGTGATTTGATAACGTTCTCAAAAGCTAACGAGGGAAACCTTTTTGGTGCCTTGAGCTCCCAGCATAACTACTACATACATTAGACGCAGTTTTTAATACCAGCCCAATGATGTGACAAAATTTCCGTGTTAAAATAACATTTCGTCACGTGGTGACGACTTTAATGACGCGCGGAACGGTCACGGTTGCCATGTTTTTAGTAATGCAGGTACCCTTTTCACACACGCTCATATATTAATCGAAGACACGGGCACCTAATTTAACTGGCTTTAGATTTACAATATCATTTATTTACTACTTACAGCTATTCAACATTATTTTTTCCTTTCGAGTTAAAATAACGTTCACACGCACTTCGAAATCTGGTACACTCACAGAAAAAACGACACCGAATTGACACCAAACCGGTGTCTATATATGACTCTACCGGTTTGGTGTCAAATTGACACAACGTGGTGGCAATTATGTTACACACCGTCGCGGTGTTAACTCAACATACCGTTGTAACAATGCCAACACCGCGAATGGATTAGAGTTTGTGCACAGATATGTTGCTTTGACAATGCTAGGTAACGATATATGGGCATTTTAATATATGCATGTCACCTCCCGGTGGCAAATTGTCCCCGGATTGTGACAGATGAACTATAACTTTTAGTAACAAACGTTTTACTTTTTATGCTCCCCCACCCACAAGGATCCATTTTAAACCTTGAAATAATTGATTCGCATTTTTTGCGAAATAACTCACTGTGCACTAGTACATACTATGGCGACTTGGAAGATAATGCTGATTTATAGATTTAGGGAGGCACTAAAATGGTAGAATGTGCTCGAATATGTACATACATATGCATGAAGAAGTTGTGAGTCTTAATTCTGATAGTAACACTAATGTACGCGCTGGTTGCTTAGCTTTTTCCAAAGTATAATGCATATGTAATTATTACAATTTATTGCGAATAACTTATCTCCGCTTCAATTCTCTGCATTCGTTCTATATTTCTACATTTAATCAGTGTTTAAAGTGGTATTTACCAAGTGGTATTTACCACTGGTAGAAACTAGTATTTACCGGTATTTACCACCTAACAAAAACCTTGTAGAGTGGTATAAAGTGGTATAATTTATACCTTATAAACCTATTTGGGGTATTGTGAGACAGGTTCTACCATATAAAGTTTCCTCAAATTTACAAAAACTAATTATTTTATTATTGCCAGATACTATAAACAACCTTAAAATAAATATGCATATTTAAGTAGCCGTCGGTATTCACAATAGTCGAAATAAATACCAGTTATGTACGTACATATATGTATGTACATATGTAGGCACATTTCCCTGTGCTTCCAGCGTATGTGCAGTACAAAAGTCACAAATTGTAATAATCACTATCACAGTATTAAGATGATGTAAACTTTCTTCTCTGCAGACTTGGGCAAGATAAACTTAGCTGTAGATAAAGATGGTAGATAAATATAAATTAGTCATTAAACTAGATAAAAATGGTAGATACAGATAGTGCAAATCAGCGAGATCAGATAAGTCAAAAGATAAAGATTTTTTATTTCAATTTATCTCAGATAGTCAAAAGATAAAGATAATCTATCCTTTGGATTAAATCCAGTCATTTAATTTTAATAGCATTGAGCGCTCAAAATTGTGGTCGGTAAGACATTTCCGTTTGGGGTCGAGGATCATGGTGCCGAAATTGAAGATTCTTTCCACTGGACCTGACGACGGTAGTGGAGTGTTAAATTTCACGAAAGTTGACTTGACGAAAGGAAATCAGTGTAACATTGCAAAATCCGTCTCAGTTGAAGCTAGATAATCGTTACATTGAGATTCTACCAGGTCTTCAATAGTTTTTCCAGTAGGTGATTGAACAGGAGAATAACCAAAGAAGTCGTCATCTGGTGATTTGTTGGCAGTTGGCATGACTGATACGGTACTCAAAGTTGGTATCGAGTTTCTATTACTTGACAAGGCAACACTCAGAACTGTTGTCTTGAAAACGCCTGTCATCTCTGAGAGTTTAGCTGCATTATTTTCCAACCAGCGCAATTTATGGTACGGGTGTGAAATTGTCGCAATCATGGCATCCTTTACATCCATTGAACACTCCAAAAATGCTTGGAAACGATTTTTAATTTGTATGAGAAGTATATTGGGGAGTCCATCGCAAAGGTTAGGTTTCTTTTGGGATATTTTCTCAAGCTGGGCGACTACGGAAAGCAAAGTCGGAATAACTTCGCCATAGAAGGTTCCATAATTTTGTCCACTCCCATTTTCTCCTTGAAGTCTATCCAAGGCTACGCAAACAGGCTTTGTACATTCCACGTATTCTATTAGGAAATCAATTTCATTCCGCGTAACAACGGGCGACCCTATGAAAAGACAAACTTGTATATGGCCCAGATGATCTAAATCTAGTCAGTATGTACATTATTTTACCTGCGGCAATGAATATTTGAGTGAGCTTATCTTCAAACTCAAGAAGCCTAATAATTGAATCATACAATGAGTTCCACCGTGTTGGGACTGGAGTAATAAGCCCCTTCCCACATATTGAATGGACTTGTTCAGCTTTAATTGTGGATCGAGATACGGCATTCCAAAGAGCTTGACACTTAGAGAAAGCTGAACGTTGAAGTTTGTTTTTTCGGTTTAAGACCACATCGCAGGAGCACACCAAGTTAAGCGTATGACTCCTGCATCGATGTAGCAGTGGGAGTATGCATATAGTAGGCTCTGGTTGTGGTGGAACTTCAGCCAATGTCAAAAATTCGACATCTTCATCGATATCTTCTAACAAGTCATCATCAGGATCCTGTCCCTCTTCTAGTTCCTCTCCACTTTCGCCGTCATCATTGGCAGGACGACAGTACATTCTAAAAGCTTTTACAAAGTTCGAACCGTTATCAGTTGTAGCTTTCACGATTTTTTCCATAGGGATTTTATATTCGTCAACGATTTCGTTAATCAATTTGGCGATCGTATCGAATGTATGAGAACCCCTGAAACGACGACATGCCAGAACGTCAGAATGTCTTTTCAATGTATGTTGGTCTATCTGTGAATTGAGACAGTAGATTTCGTGAGACGACTAGCCTTTTAAGAATTGTGTTTCTGTTTAGTTCTTTACAAAGCTTACCCAGTGCAGTGTGGAACCTAGAAAAGATCTGCTTTTGCCTTTGCATGTCCAAATGTTGGCAGTAATACCAAAATAAGCCACTCTTGTATATTTTTCGGTCATCGCCTTCTTCATATCTACGTATTGATCATTACATCTTCGTCCAAGTGTCCTTCGGCTCAATGGCATCCAGTCCCCTTGACTAGCACCTGCAAAATTCAACATTTGACAAATAAGATGACTTTAATTACTTATTATTATGACTGGACGGTCTAAGTGAGTGTGAATGCACTAATAATTTTGCATACCTGTGATAAGATCACGGTACCCAGATTCCTCTACAATGGAATAAGGATGTAGTCCTTTGACGACAAATTTTAATTGAAGCCGTTCAGAGTTTGACATGTTTGTTCGAGGCTTTTTAGGTAAAATCGAATCAATTGCAGGCTGGTCGTTCCCCCCACACCGCTTCCTTTGCTCCCTCCTTCGCTTGTCATCAACCTTACGTTCTTTGTTGTATTGATCAACTTGGTCCTTGTGATAACTCTGCGACGAAAAATCAAAACTATTTAGATACTAAAACTCAAAATATTTTGTCCAACTAAGTCAAAATTAGCTAACCTTTATGTGATCCAGAAAATTTCCAGTCGATTTAGTATTGCCCTTAACTTTTCTTGAACATGTTTTGCACTTAGCAGTTACCTTTTCACCTTCTTGCTGATCAACAGTGAAAAAACTACGCAATATGTATGGCAAAGTGTCATCTGCATGACCTTCATCAGGAGATGACATGTTGATTAATTAAGTAATTTATTTTGACAACCAGATTTAGGCTAGCAAAAACTAACAACGAACTGTATAAAAGTTGTAACGAGCAGATGATTTTTATTTTCCCTTCTCTTCTCCATAGTCGTTTTCGCTTGGAGAAGAGTGAGACAGAAATTTGATCTTCAGCTGACGGTAGGGAAAGATAAAGATAAAGATAAAGATTTTGGAGATTTTAGGAGGAGATAAAAGTAGAAGATAAGATACAATACATAGTGTAAGATAAGATATAGATAAAGATATCTTTATCTTTATCTTTATCTGATATCTTATGTAATATCTTGCCCACCTCTGCTTCTCTGTCAATTGACGGCTGACGCGCAGGGACATTAACATAAAAATTCAAAAGTGTTGCGTAAAAATCCCTAACAACAAACATACATTGCTGATGGTCAGAAAAATTTAGCCCTATAATAGTAGTATGGTTTAATTAAATAAGAGAAGAATGTAATGAAGATGAGAAATATTAAATACTACAAAGTATTTAAGATATTATTAAAAATATCATTTAATTTGACTTTCCCACACAGTAAATTGGCCAATCATGAGTTTTTACCACTTTTTACCATTTTACCACTTTTTACCACTTTTTACCACTGTGATGGTAAAAATCAAACCGGGTGGTACAATTTAAAACGCTGCATTTAATTAAATAAAGTTACAAACTAATTGTAAGTAATTGTGGAATTAATATATTCGTAATTACGGTATTTAAGCGAGCAATAGAACTTACGCCATTATCTCGTGTATGTAATAAATATTTTATTTCTTTGAAACGAAAACATGAAATTAAATTATGACGAGCAATAATCCGCGTCCACACTGTTTTCCACGATCCATTCTGGATATTTTGAAACGCGGGTGTAAACTCCAGGTGCGAATGGACGTGCACATCCTAAATATTTACAAGTGAAGAAATTAGTAACTAATTCCATAAATTCCCAAATTTGTTATGATAAAAGTATAGCATTTAAATGACATCTTCTTCAAATTCAAATTCAAAGAAACTAAACTAATGCAAATTAAATAATTTTTGAAAATATTTGACGGCGGGATACCCCTTCGGTCAAAATATCTCGTACGTTTGGATGAGAAAATCGTGAACAATCGCATATGTCAAAAAATTCGTATAGAATGCAAATAAAAACGGGCCTTTGATAATTGCAAAAAAATTGCTGAGCCTTACGACTAATTTGAAGCGCACCTGTTCACTTTAATTCATTTCACTGATCTTGATTATGAAGTATAGTGAATGAAAATGAATTTCCTGTCATTTGAATGAAAATGACTGAATAATTCCGTCATATCAGATGAATGACTATGAATAAAAGGATCTATAAAGTGGCGTATATGTTTCACGTCATCGTCTCCAAATCCGATTTTTTGATTATTTAAAATTTGTAATTGTAAATATTTAGTAGTGACAATTTCGCTCAGCTAATCAAAAAATCGGATTTGGAAGAGATGCCGTGAAGCATAAACGCGCCTTAACTTCTTTCATTTTTCACCTTGTGCTTAATACAAAGAGCAAAATGAGAAATGAAGTCAGATGAAGTTAAATAAAATGAATTTGAACGAAAATGACTGATTGTGAAGGAACATCGTAAGTCAGAAATCGGGATGAATGAGTTTGAATGAAAATTAAATTTTTTGAACAGGTATGATATGAAGAATGAAAAAAATTAATCTCAAATAAGTATATGAACACTTTTAGAAATCCAGTATTGAAATAATATTTACCATGCAGTATTAGTAAAGGGTGTTAATAAAGTCCGATCCCATTTTTCCTATAAAAAAGTGAAGGCTAGTATAAAAAAAACTACCCGTGATACTTACAAAAAATGTTCGACATATTTACCTTAGTATTTGGTCTTGTTACCATTTACTTTAACCATGCCCTCAACTCTTTGTTTAAGGCTCTGTGCTAATTTTTCCAATGTGTCTGTGGGAATCGAATTCCATACATCTTGAACTTTTTTTACTAGCTCTTCCCTCGTCCGGGGTTGTGGTTCTTTGTATACATTTTCCTTAAGTATGGACCACAGGTTCTCCAGGGGATTCAAATCTGGGCTGTTTCCGGGCCACACCCCCTTGCTCCAGACCGTTGAAACTTGCGTCTTGATGAGACTCAAACTCGCTTTTGCTGTATGGGCTGTAGCACCATCCTGCATGAAAACTATTTTTCTTTCATTCGGAAATATTTCCTTGTTCCCCATGCTATCGAAATAGATAGGTAATATTTTTTCCATATAATACTTTGCATTGACTGTTTGGCCTTTTGGTATGATATGTAGAGGAGTCACGCCACGTGCACAAAATCCACCCGCTACCATAACTTTAAGCCCGAATTTTGGGACTGCTCTTGATGGTACATCCGATTTGTTTTCTGTCCTGTAACGAACATTTTGTTGGTTCAATTTTGGATATAGCTCAATAATAGATTCGTCAGTCCAAAGGATGTGACTGCGCAATTCTTCACCAAGTCTTTTTTCACTCAAATGGCCACTTTTCTGAAGGAGTTCTCCAAATTTCAGACGGTCATCGATATTTTTTTGTGACATGAGAGGTTTTTTGGTTAGTTTGTAAGCTGTGTGACCCCACCTCGTAGACTTCACAAATTTTTGCACGGTCACATAGTTAATTTGCTTCTTCTTCTCTTTATAGCGTTTTGAGTCATTTAACTCCCTTGCACAATTACGTAATGAACTACCGGTTTTCTTGTAAAGTCTGTTTTTAATCATTCTCTTTGTGGTAGGTGACACCTTTCTGGGTCGCCCGGGTCGCTTTTTGTCGTGGACAAAATTTTTGTTCTTCCATTTCCAAACAGTTCTGCGGCTGCAGCCCAATTTTTGCACAATTTCTGCAGGTTTAAACCCCTGCTGATGCAATGTTTGTATCTTAACTCTAAGATGCTCATGACTTACACGTTTAGTTGTTCCTCCCATGGTAAAAATTTGAAATAAATAACTTCACTGGTTCAAAAGTTCCAGCTGAATTTGTAACAACCGCGCTCCAAAAAATTCATGGGATCGGACTTTATTAACACCCTTTATATGACTCTACGATTGATAATAATAAAATGCATTTCCCTTGGAGTTTACCAGATTAAGTAATATTTAGAAACTTCTGAACCACCCCTTATACATAAATAAATATGTTCTCACCAAATCCGAATGAGACCACTCCAACCAACAACTTCTGTCCATTTTCTCCCCTGTTCACGACTAGAGGCCCGCCCGAATCGCCCTGCATTCAAATTAATCAGACTTTCGCTGCATACAAAAATTGCAGAATTTTAATTATCCATTTATTTATATTTATTCCATACCTGACAACTATCCTTTCCGCCAGAACTTAGCTCCCCCGCGCAGATCTGGGTGTCTGTAATTTGTCCTAAATATAGCGTCCTCCAGTTGCAAACTTTATTCGGAATGATGGGCACCACTACTTTTTGCAGGGTAGAAGACACACTCCCACCCTGTTCGGTTGCACCTAATTATTAAAAATGGCACACAAAGCATGTAAAGTATTTAAGTAAAATGAATCAAAATAATTTATTTAAAAACTCTTAAAAAAGTGTCAAGCCTTTAAAAATTAAATGCATTCTGAATTAAATATGCACATATTAAATAAATTATACCAAATTCTGAGCAAACCTTGGGCTTAAATCAAGTTTACGTTAGTCGATTTAGTGTGCATTTATTTTTCAAAAGGGTACCCGTTTTTTAAGAGTGTAAATATGTACAACGTATTCCTTACCCCATCCCGCAACGATTGCCTTTTCATTATCATAACTTTCCGAACTATCGGCCGGAAGGCAGACTGGTCTAATCGTGTTCACAATGTCGACAGGTTGGGAAAGTTTCAGCAACTAAAGGAAGAATATATAGAAATCATTTTAAATTATTAAAAATTTCGAAAACTTAAAAAAATATATAATTAAATAAAAAAACCAGGTGTATGTAAATATGTTAAAAAAACTCAAACACGTGTCAAAATTTGGGCCAATAAAATCAAAAAATCATAGGATGTTAAAAAAACTCAAACACGTCAAACAATTCGGATCAAGAAATCATAAGTCAGAAGAAATGCTGATTTAAAAATTCTAAATAAATTGTACCAAAACTTACAGCGATATCGTTTTTAATCTTATTTCTGTCATATTCCGCATGCATGATAATTTCCTCAACGTCAATCCGCAACGTGCCCGTTAAGGTTTCATCCTCCACTCGGAAATCTTCCTCATTCAACCAAACCTGGATTTTCTCCGCTTTGAAGCCATCAACACAATGACCTAGATAATTAACAAATTCGTAGTCGTTAATATGTATAATTCGATGACAATTTAAACTCAAATTTGGAATCGTCCATACATTATATCATCAAAAAATAGGTAGATTGCTTTGGGCCGCCCTTCTAACTCGTGTTCGGCTTAAGATGAATTGGAATTGGAATAGGGAAATAGTGTTATAAAAAATCGGAATTTTTTGACCACGTAATATATGCACGTTCCATAATTGCGTACATATTTACTTGCAGTGACAACGTATCTCGTGTTGACCAGGGTCCCCCCACAATACGGGCCCTTAATTTGGGTCGCATTTGGGTATTCACGTCAATTTCGTAAAACTCGTGAAGTATCACATTTTCCCTTTCGCAAAAAAGGTTCACAAGACGGATTTCTCAAAAACTGCAAATTTGCGAAGGTAAATATTTTGCGAAAATTTGTAGGTATTCATCGAATGAATGCCCACAGTTCATATATTTACATACATATGTGTGCATTTATGTTTGGTATTTTACATGCAAAAATGTTAATTTTCGCATTCCGTGCAAAAAAACCGACCCACAATTTTAATTCTTGTTTGAGTGAAGGAGATTGATTATTTTGGCGTAAATACATATGCAACTCCGTTATTTTTCACTTCATAAAAACGACACAGAAAATCAATCACTCACGACACGACTGATTTCCCGTAATTATCGGCCCATTGACAACTTTAAGGCCGCCATCATTTTCATCGTCTGGTTCCAAATTTGGCGGGATGGTGGGGCCCCCTTCACCCGGAGAGGGGGTCGTTGGGTACTTGAAATCCGGATAATCGTCCTCCCCATCAAACTGAATTTCTTGTCCAAGTGTCGTGTCTATATATTTAGAAACAATATCGACTAATCTATTTATGTACCTATGTAAGTAAGTAATAATAAAGATTAATAAGGTTGACTAACGAAATCTTCGTACATATGTAAATGTCGCATGTGATGGATGCGAATTTTTTCACTTAAAATGCATACAGTCTTTTCACAACTCAATACTTCGTAAATTTCGCATCACCACCGTTGCTCTCGATACGAATATGTATGTATGTAACTCCAAATTCAATCGAAAATAAAATTCGGATTTTATAAAATTCAAAAGCCATGACATTATGCATTTAGATATTTTACGAAAATAATTTCGCAAGCTGTGTAACAAATTTAAGTGGCCAAGTTAATAAAACGAGGCTAACAAATCTCATGAATCTGCCCCCCCCCCCCAATGTCCTGTAATCCCCCGAGTTTTATTACCGTTTGGTGGCTCACTCGTGACAACAGGTTCTGATCTTTCTTCCACCTGAAATTAATAAATCTCAAATGCTGTAAAGAAAATGAGAAATTTTCATTTCCTCACCACCAACGGGGTAGCCAGACAAAGGCTAAAAGTCAGGGCTGAGAAGATGAAAAACTTCAACATTTTTAATTTGAAGTGACAAAATAATTTGAAATGACAACCTTCCCCGTTGCGATTTGAAATTCGACTGGCATAACTTGAAGTTAAAATAAATGTGTCATTGTCATCACACGCGTCAGGTACATGGATGCACACACATTTGAGATGTCAACTCATCACTGGTTGGTTTAGTCTATAAAACTTTGACACGGTTTAATCCACCAATTCTTTTTCCTTTAAACAAACAAATATGTACGTATGTAAATATGTATTGACCCAGATGTAATACATTTATTTATTAACTTTTTATCAAGGTCATGATAACCTTTTGCATGACAAATTTATTTATTAAAGAGAGTAAAGTGAGATCAGAGATCGAAATGATTTCACGTTTTAATTCACAACACACACACCTAAATACATAGTCAATTATGTATTTATGCATAATTAATGTGTAGAAAACAATCAAATTTCTGAGGGGAGTCCATAAATTGTATCTAAATGCCTTCGGCATTCAGATAATGTGTACTATTTTGGGTCGTACAATTTATGGACGGTCCATTAAATATTTATTTATCACATGCATTTTCTTTAGATTGCATAAAATACAGGAGAACATTTATGCACCAGTTTGGTGCAAATTTTAGAGATAAATTTGTACACAATTTTCACCTTTAAATACACGATTACTTACATTAATAAATATTTTAGACAGGAATTTTGGCGTATTCATATCGCAAATTCTGAATTCGGACGCTTAGAGTGCGAATATCATTTTCAATCGTGCTCCTCAACGCGAGGATGGCCTTTCTTCTTTCGACCGCCTAAGAAATTAAGAAGTAAATGTTTTTTAATTCAGAAATAAATTATAATAAACTTATGTAATTTGTGCTCACATAAACGCCCAGCTCGTCTTGTAACCGGTCAATATTTTTACCAAGTTGTACATGCAGTGGTGCAGTTAGCATTATAATTTGAGAATTTTCTTCCAGAAATTGATCCTTTTCCCAAATCAAGTGATCCATTTCGGGACTGATTTCCTATTAAGAGTAGGGCAGAAGTTTGGATGACAATTTATGCAAAAATGGAATTAAAATTTTATGAAAAATCCTCATTCTTCATATCATATGTAAATATGTACGAATCATTAATTAATCATAATTAACGGATTAATTGAGAAGCATCATTAATCCGAGAAAAAAAAATGTAATGACCTTTCGCTGCTTTACGACAATTCTATTTTTTTGGTTAACGGCAAGAAATTAGTCAAATATACAATTACATTTTTAAGCATGTGTTTTGTGCAAAATTACTCATGTGTCCTTAATTACTGGACAAAATGACTCGAAAACAGAGAAAATCCTTACCCCAAAATGGTCCGGAATTTTATCGAACAATTCTTCCAATTTGGCCAAAACTTGGACAATCTCTTGGCTTCAAGATGTGCTTCAGTAGTTCGAACGCTTCTCCATCGCTCGTGCCCGTCATGGGGATGAGATAGACGGCCTTCTCGGTCAAACTGGGGTGCATCATGAGGTCCATCACGTGCTTCGCCTTGAACCTCACGTCGTTCACGGATTCCCGAAAGTAGCCAATTCTCTTCCTCTCTTCCACAATTATTTTCGCGACCTGGCAGAAAACCCGGAGTAAAATTAGGGGTATTCACGTCGACTTGGTAAAAGCCTTGCAGCTTTTCCCACAACGATTCTAGTTCAAGCGGAAGCTTCACATTTTAAATAAGTGGGTTGAATTACAAATTATGTATGGTGTTTAATAGGGGCATTCACGTCAACTTTGTAAACCTTGCTTCGCTCGTAGCATAACCGAAAAATTACAATGTGTGCGACAAGTTTCGATGCAACAAAACCATCGAAATCCCTTATTTTTGGCGAAATATGGGGCACAAGAAGGCTTATCTGCGCAAACTCTGTATTTTTTCTCGTAAATTTATCGTGACGCCAATTTTAATTGCTCTCCATTATTAATGAATTTATGGAATAACGAATGAGTAATTGATTCATTCTGTACGAAATAAATGAATGTGAACAGGTAAAAGTTTCATAGAAGTATTTACCTTATCATACAATGCACCCATGTTATCCTCCATGTGAATTAATTCTTTTGTCGACGACTCGATAAAACTTGTCGGTCCTCCGGCAATGTGTTCCATCTTTTCATAACCGGCCGTCTGGCTTTTGAGTGAGGCCAGTTTATCCTGCATGGGGCGAATATGTTCCCCCAGAAACTTATCCAGCTCCCGAGTAGCAGAAAAATCTGCAAGCTGCACGCAGATAACATGGCAAAAATTTTTTTGCAAATGTATTTACATGTAAATATCATAGATAGTTGTAAATTTCATAAAATTATTTTAAAATTTCAGAACATGACGAGCTTAAAACCAGTTTCTGAAACGTTGGGGGTATTCACTAGTTATCTAAATTGTTAGTTCGCATGGCGACATGAGCCCAATAAAATTTACAATTTCGCAAGCAAATTTGCCATTTCTTTGCGAACTTGTTACCTTTGTTTATTTTGCAAACGTTCTTCACTGATAATGCTAATGAATACCCACCACAATACCTGAAACAAATCCTACGTATCCCGCAACAAATCTGAGCTAATTGCAATATGTAAAATTATTCTAAATCGTTATCTTAAAATAAATTTCCGCAACACATAAATTTCAAAATATCGCGAAACATTTTACGCGACTCACCTCTTTCTCAAAGCGTATCACATCCTTCGCATTGGCCACGATCAGCCTCAACAACTCGGCAGTTGTTCTATAATCATCCGAGAAGTCGGGAACATTGTCGGGAAACGTTTCTAATTCGAACTGCTTGATGAGAAACGTTTTATACATGGCAATTCCAATTATCATCGTGACTAGAGCGAGACAAGATAACCCAATCTTTTTCACAGCACCGAACGTAGCCTTATCATCTCGTCCATTTCTTTTGCGGCCTTTCCGTCTGAAAATGTTTAGTCATTTCAAAATAAATATGGTACATTGAATCAATTCACGCAGGCCTTGGTAATCTTGCAACATCCGTGAATTCTGTAAACTTGTTACAACCTGTTACAAATATTTCGGGGGAAATTAACCCCCAAATTTTTGTAAATTAAAGTCTATGCATTTACAAAATTATATTAAACGACTTTACAAAGTTACCAATGACCGCGTGAATTACGCACATTAATTATTACCCTAATTACGTACTTAATTTGGACGACATGCTCACGCTCGTTCGTCTCCGTGTCGGATTTGTTTGGTGGATTATTCCTCCTTCTCGGATTTGTCATTTTATTTGACAAACTTATTTAATTTTCATTCGAGTCTTGGTTGAATTTTAAACGTCAAAACGAAGTTTCAATGCAAATCAGTCGAAACTTTCGAAGGAGGAATGTGATTAGATAACACTTTTTCGTCAAAAATATTGTTATATTTTAATTTTTCAGATTTACCGAGATATTTTAGAAATAGCGAGAAATTTTAAAAAGAAGATAAAAAATAGTTAAATTGTACAGTAGAAAGTTTAATTATTAAGTCGTCCAATGAAAAGAATGATCACATCTCAGTTTTCTTCGACGTTTCTATATCCCAAACTTTAAAATTTATTTAATTATTAGTTAATTAACTTATTTATGTACTATTTACGGTTGTAAAGTCATATATTGTTCTGCTTACCTTTTAACCCGTGTGGGGTATCCTTTACATGAATTTAGTCAACCATTTGCGGCGTACATACATATTTGGTTTATTATTGCCCCGATATGGTTAGATTTTATATAAGTTTTATATAACCGAATTTAATTAATAGATACTCAAAAGATTGAATGAGCAATATGCGCAACATGTGATTCGAGAATGAAATACAAATTCCATGTGAGTGCACCACTTTCCCACTGCTGTCATCATCTCCATGACAACCAGACTGATTTGGGCAGCCTGCAACCCGGTCCCAACATGATGCCTCTCATAAAAAATCTTCTCGTGCACAAAATTGTATGTGACTAATTACTGATTCATTGCATCATTGCATCGTACCATTATGAAGTGTTATGTAGCTTACATAATGTTGATAATTGAAAAATAACAAAAGAAAAATCAAAATTAATGAATGGTCGGAACGACCCATAGGTCAATATATTTGGCAACTTTGTGCCAAAAAAGAAAGAAAGTGCTTTATCTGCGAATATTTGTCGCAGCAAATAATCAAAGTACCTTCATATGTGAAAATAATTAGTTTTTTTTCTCTTCGAATATACCTTAGACTATGATAAATAAAATTTTTCCATGTTAGTTTTAACTAATTACACATTTTGTAGCAAATTTATTTCTATTTTCACCCTGGAAGAAAAAAGACCCTTCCAAACTTGTAAAATTTGTTAACGATTTATCAAAGCAATGCAACCTTCACCCTGAAAAAAACCTGTGAACATGAACTGGTATCAAAATTGTCATAAAAATGTGTCCAAGTAGGGCAGATTGAGGCACAAAATCTAAATTCAAAGCCTGTATTGTATGAAAAATGACTTTAACAGGAGGACGTGTCACAGGAAGATGCGCCAAAGGAACACGTGTCACCGGAGGACGTGACACTGGATGACGTACCAGAGTTATCTTGAGCAAATACGACAGGACTAAAAAACGTAGTTGGTTTCTTTGGACCGACTGGTCTCGAAGGCCTGTTGGCCTGTCGAACACCTTCGTCAAGACTTCGCCACAGTGCGACTAAAATGAAATTTGAGTGAGTTTTAAAATTTAATCAACATCTTTGGGAAGATGTGTCGTACCTGCAACAAACACTAATAACCTGATGGCGAGAAAGACCAGCAGCAGTAAAATGTCTATACTGTCCATTTTAAGTTTCTGATAATTTTTAGATCTAATTCTTCCCTTTACTGTTCTCTATAAATGAGGCAAAATATTGGAAAAAGGTGATGTTCCAACTTAAACTTGTCGTTTAAACGTCTCTCCAACAACATGTGTCATTTGCATAATTCGTGCAAGCTTTATGGATTTATGTATTTATGTATATGTGTACAAATGAACATATGGCTATTCAGACGAATATTATTGACACAAGGTGCATGAACTAACTAACTACGTATTTCAATAATTTACATAAATCCCATGACAACTTGTATCCAGTCATACATAGTGTTCCCAGAAGTGACACACAGTCATGTTAAAATATGGTCATTATTAAAATAGCAACGACATAATACATGGTCTTCATTAATGTGAAATCAAAACAAAGAATACAAGGTTGGACTGAGCTTTTTTGAACTTCCCGGATCGCTCTCTCACATGACTTGCACAAGTCTCACTCTCCCCACTTTGTCTCCTCTCTTCCCATGCAAAATGCAAAACATGATATTCCTATTTCATGCATTTCATGAATCAAGGGGATGATATCTCGATGATATGCATGATGACATGCCATCACTTTATCGTGGGGATAAACTTTAATAATGATTTTAACTTATCGAGGGACTATGCACGAATAATGAAGTCACTTATCAAGGGACTGTGCATAATAATGGCATGCACTTATCACGGGACTGTGCATAAAGTGTGTCATTATACTTATCAAGGGGATTGCATAAAGTGTGTCATTTTACTTATCACGGGGACTGTGCATAAAGTGTGTCATTATACTTATCAAGGGGATTGCATAAAGTGTGTCATTTTACTTATCACGGGGACTGTGCATAAAGTGTGTCATTATACTTATCACGGGGATTGCATAAAGTGTGTCATTATACTTATCACGGGGACTGTGCATAAAGTGTGTCATTATACTTATCACGGGGATTGCATAAAGTGTGTCATTATACTTATCACGGGGACTGTGCATAAAGTGTGTCATTATACTTATCAAGGGGACTGCATAAAGTGTGTCATTTTACTTATCACGGGGACTGTGCATAAAGTGTGTCATTTTACTTATCACGGGGACTGTGCATAAAGTGTGTCATTATACTTATCACGGGGACTGTGCATAAAGTGTGTCATTATACTTATCACGGGACTGTGCATAAAGTGTGTCATTTTACTTATCACGGGGATTGCATAAAGTGTGTCATTTTACTTATCACGGGGACTGTGCATAAAGTGTGTCATTATACTTATCAAGGGGATTGCATAAAGTGTGTCATTTTACTTATCACGGGGACTGTGCATAAAGTGTGTCATTATACTTATCACGGGGATTGCATAAAGTGTGTCATTATACTTATCACGGGGACTGTGCATAAAGTGTGTCATTATACTTATCACGGGGATTGCATAAAGTGTGTCATTATACTTATCACGGGGACTGTGCATAAAGTGTGTCATTATACTTATCAAGGGGACTGCATAAAGTGTGTCATTTTACTTATCACGGGGACTGTGCATAAAGTGTGTCATTTTACTTATCACGGGGACTGTGCATAAAGTGTGTCATTATACTTATCACGGGGACTGTGCATAAAGTGTGTCATTATACTTATCACGGGACTGTGCATAAAGTGTGTCATTTTACTTATCACGGGGATTGCATAAAGTGTGTCATTTTACTTATCACGGGGACTGTGCATAAAGTGTGTCATTATACTTATCACGGGGACTGTGCATAAAGTGTGTCATTATACTTATCACGGGACTGTGCATAAAGTGTGTCATTATACTTATCACGGGGATTGCATAAAGTGTGTCATTTTACTTATCACGGGGACTGTGCATAAAGTGTGTCATTATACTTATCAAGGGGATTGCATAAAGTGTGTCATTTTACTTATCACGGGGACTGTGCATAAAGTGTGTCATTTTACTTATCACGGGGACTGTGCATAAAGTGTGTCATTATACTTATCAAGGGGATTGCATAAAGTGTGTCATTTTACTTATCACGGGGACTGTGCATAAAGTGTGTCATTTTACTTATCACGGGGACTGTGCATAAAGTGTGTCATTATACTTATCACGGGGACTGTGCATAAAGTGTGTCATTATACTTATCACGGGACTGTGCATAAAGTGTGTCATTATACTTATCACGGGGACTGCATAAAGTGTGTCATTATACTTATCACGGGACTGTGCATAAAGTGTGTCATTTTACTTATCACGGGGATTGCATAAAGTGTGTCATTATACTTATCAAGGGGATTGCATAAAGTGTGTCATTTTACTTATCACGGGGACTGTGCATAAAGTGTGTCATTATACTTATCACGGGGATTGCATAAAGTGTGTCATTTTACTTATCACGGGGACTGTGCATAAAGTGTGTCATTATACTTATCAAGGGGATTGCATAAAGTGTGTCATTTTACTTATCACGGGGACTGTGCATAAAGTGTGTCATTATACTTATCACGGGGACTGTGCATAAAGTGTGTCATTATACTTATCACGGGGACTGTGCATAAAGTGTGTCATTTTACTTATCACGGGGACTGTGCATAAAGTGTGTCATTATACTTATCAAGGGGATTGCATAAAGTGTGTCATTATACTTATCAAGGGGATTGCATAAAGTGTGTCATTTTACTTATCACGGGGACTGTGCATAAAGTGTGTCATTATACTTATCACGGGGACTGTGCATAAAGTGTGTCATTATACTTATCACGGGGACTGCATAAAGTGTGTCATTATACTTATCACGGGACTGTGCATAAAGTGTGTCATTTTACTTATCACGGGGATTGCATAAAGTGTGTCATTATACTTATCAAGGGGATTGCATAAAGTGTGTCATTTTACTTATCACGGGGACTGTGCATAAAGTGTGTCATTATACTTATCACGGGGATTGCATAAAGTGTGTCATTTTACTTATCACGGGGACTGTGCATAAAGTGTGTCATTATACTTATCAAGGGGATTGCATAAAGTGTGTCATTTTACTTATCACGGGGACTGTGCATAAAGTGTGTCATTATACTTATCACGGGGACTGTGCATAAAGTGTGTCATTATACTTATCACGGGGACTGTGCATAAAGTGTGTCATTTTACTTATCACGGGGACTGTGCATAAAGTGTGTCATTATACTTATCAAGGGGATTGCATAAAGTGTGTCATTTTACTTATCACGGGGACTGTGCATAAAGTGTGTCATTATACTTATCACGGGGACTGTGCATAAAGTGTGTCATTATACTTATCACGGGGACTGTGCATAAAGTGTGTCATTTTACTTATCACGGGGACTGTGCATAAAGTGTGTCATTATACTTATCAAGGGGATTGCATAAAGTGTGTCATTATACTTATCAAGGGGATTGCATAAAGTGTGTCATTTTACTTATCACGGGGACTGTGCATAAAGTGTGTCATTATACTTATCACGGGGACTGTGCATAAAGTGTGTCATTATACTTATCACGGGGACTGCATAAAGTGTGTCATTATACTTATCACGGGACTGTGCATAAAGTGTGTCATTTTACTTATCACGGGGATTGCATAAAGTGTGTCATTATACTTATCAAGGGGATTGCATAAAGTGTGTCATTTTACTTATCACGGGGACTGTGCATAAAGTGTGTCATTATACTTATCACGGGGATTGCATAAAGTGTGTCATTTTACTTATCACGGGGACTGTGCATAAAGTGTGTCATTATACTTATCAAGGGGATTGCATAAAGTGTGTCATTTTACTTATCACGGGGACTGTGCATAAAGTGTGTCATTATACTTATCACGGGGACTGTGCATAAAGTGTGTCATTATACTTATCACGGGGACTGTGCATAAAGTGTGTCATTTTACTTATCACGGGGACTGTGCATAAAGTGTGTCATTATACTTATCAAGGGGATTGCATAAAGTGTGTCATTTTACTTATCACGGGGACTGTGCATAAAGTGTGTCATTATACTTATCAAGGGGATTGCATAAAGTGTGTCATTTTACTTATCACGGGGACTGTGCATAAAGTGTGTCATTATACTTATCACGGGGATTGCATAAAGTGTGTCATTTTACTTATCACGGGGACTGTGCATAAAGTGTGTCATTATACTTATCAAGGGGATTGCATAAAGTGTGTCATTTTACTTATCACGGGGACTGTGCATAAAGTGTGTCATTATACTTATCACGGGGACTGTGCATAAAGTGTGTCATTATACTTATCACGGGGACTGTGCATAAAGTGTGTCATTTTACTTATCACGGGGACTGTGCATAAAGTGTGTCATTATACTTATCAAGGGATTGCATAAAGTGTGTCATTTTACTTATCACGGGGACTGTGCATAAAGTGTGTCATTATACTTATCACGGGGACTGTGCATAAAGTGTGTCATTATACTTATCACGGGGACTGTGCATAAAGTGTGTCATTTTACTTATCACGGGGACTGTGCATAAAGTGTGTCATTATACTTATCAAGGGGATTGCATAAAGTGTGTCATTATACTTATCAAGGGGATTGCATAAAGTGTGTCATTATACTTATCACGGGGACTGCATAAAGTGTGTCATTATACTTATCGCGGGGACTGTGCATAATAATGACATGCACTTATACAGGGACTGTGCAAGAATAAAGTAAGGTGACTAAAACAACGGTCCGTTCACGTGAAATGTAACAAAATTGACACAAAGAAATGTGACAAAATTTCCACAAGGGTCCGTTTACAGGAAATGGGACAAAATTTCCACAAGGTTGCGTTCACAGGAAATGTGACAAAATTTCCACAGGGGTTCATTCACGGGAACAAGGACCATTTTTCTCCACGAGACCGTTCAAATGAAATGCGAGATGTCTCCACGAGACTGTTCACGTCGATAATGTCCCAAAGTTACCACATGAATGACTCCATTGTTAAAGGGGATCATATTTCTTTATAATTCCGTCAACGTTAACAGGGAATATGAATTATGACATCAATGGCGCGAATTTTGATCACATTTTGACCACAGCTTTCAATATGAACTGACAAAATCTCCTTTTAAGGGTTTGTTCATGTACACATTTGACCTTAGGGTTTAAGGATCAATCTAGGGCCCATTATAATGGGCCGAAACACTAGTAAAGATAGAGACAAAGGTTTTACATGATTTTTAGTACTATTTGTCATCAAATTATTGTGCTTATAAATTCAAATGTATCTAAGCTCAAATATATGATCAGACTGATTTTTTTTTGTTTATGTATTGTCGCATAGCGCGTCACGTCAGGTATCGCCGAAAGTTTTCTTCTCATTTAATAAGGCGGGCATTCGTACGGTCAGATTTACGCATACGTAAATGTCCCAGTTTTGATGAAGCGGTCGTTTTTTTAAATTGCCAAAAAACTACCCCACCCCAAATTATTATTAATTGTCTAAACGGGAAGATTTTACATGGCACGTAAATATGAACATACATATTTAAATACTCTCCATCCATACAGGATTAACCTTTTACAGAAATTGAGAATTAACGTTCACTTGTATGCGGGTTTTCAATTTGAATTGTTGTGTCTCATCTTTCCCATCTTCCATATGTTCAAATGGCGATTTTGAAACTTATTCATCTCCCTGGGTTGTTTACAATATGAAGATTTCAATGCACATAAAAATCGATAATTTTTAGGTCTACAAAGTTACGACTCTAGAATTTTGATTTTTTTCTTCCATGAGGAAATATTTAAATATGAAACAGATGAAAAATAATAAGTAAAAACTAAATATTTTCTCATTGAAGAAAAAAGTCGTAACTTTGTAGACCTAAAAATTATCCATTTTTAGGTGCATACTGACGCATACAATGCCACCTTAAGAGAAACTACGCCACTACCGTCAGGCTCAGGAGAATTTTACTTCTGCTGAAAAGGCAATTTGAAACTTATAGTGGCGCAGTTTGTGTGAATTCTCAATTTCTGTAAAAGTTCAATCCTACGTGGAAAGAGTACTTACTAAATTCTCTCGTTCTTCCTCAAACGCTGCAGATGTTGGTAGAATATCCCCATGACGATATTTAATTTCCAATTAATTTGCTCAATCAATAATTCAAATAATTTGCAAATTTGCGTCTCTAATTTTTTTTTTCAAAATTTTGCATAATTTGTCCAAAAATTTTAAAATGTGTTCAAAATTTGTTTTCAAACAAGCTTTCATACTTTTTTAATTTGAATAATATCTGAAGACAGCATGTGCTCGACCTGACCGTTCAGTGGCCGACCTCTCCCGCTGGAACCCGATGCATCGGGGTGGTCATACATAAATATGTACATACCCTCGGCACAAATATCATCACAACTTGACAAAAAATGAATCTTACAAGTAAATTCCTTCCGTTTGTTGGACAAGTCAGTCATGCGTGCTCATCCATCTTGGTATTGGTGTCGGTCCCCAACTCTTTGGACAGCTCGGTATGTACATACATATGTTCACTCTTAGCAAAATGGTATGGAATCATCACCAAACGCAGTGCATGTATGACTTACCCGGAGCCGTGATAACGCATCGTGAAAAATATACACCGTTGTGGTGACGAAAACTCACCACTTGGAATCAAACTATTATGTACCAACCCGGGGAGAAATTATCACCAAATCAACACCATCACGGAGTACATACATAAATATATGACTTCACCACTTTGCTAAGAGTGTTCCCGTGTAAGTCATTTCGTTTCGTATTCATGTCATCTCACCTGCATGAAGGTGAGATGAGATCTATCTCACTTTATCTCATTTCTACCCTGCAAAGTAGACATGAGAACAAGGCTTTGTCCAGAACACATTCAGTAATAAATAAACGATAAATGGTAAAGAAACCGAGACACGTGTATGCCTCAAGGTTGGGTTTGTCCACAATCTTCCCAGGGCTACGGTATAAGGTCAGGTAGATACCACATATGTATTTCGCAACCTCAGACTTGTTACCAACCAACGAACTACATAAATAAATATGCACATTCGCACGTAGTCGTGAGAAGTTGCTCTGACCTCGAAGTGGCGATACAAGTAATGAAGCATTTGCATTAGTGGTCACCTTGATAAGATAAGCGAAATTATTGACAAATTGAAAACTGGCTTGACTGCAGTGGTAGACTGGACGGAGCGAAACGGCATGAAATTAAATCTGGGGAAGAGTCAATTAATTATATTTGGTAGTGCCGCAAATCTGAATAAAGTGGGTCAGATTACCATTGACATTGGTGGAGTCAGAATAGTGAGCCAAGACCAGATAAGAAGTCTTGGGCTCATTTTGGACTCCAAGATGTCATAGTATAACCACATAAATGCTCTATCCCGGAAATTCCACTATGTAATATATCCTCTGAAACCCATAATGACACGGAGGAACATCATATTGGTGTTTAATGCATGCTTAATTTCACTTGTAAACTATATGATTATGGTATGGGGGTCCTCGTGTGCAAAAAATTTGACAATAATCGAAAGAGGTTTGCGGCATGTTGCTAGGTTTATTTTAGATCGGAAAATGTATGAACCGATATGTAACGTAATGCAAAACGAACTAAAATGGTTGTTACCTAAGCAAAACTATTATTACAGATCTAAATATATGTTTTTTATATTCACTGCAGTGCAGAATAACGAAATTCCATTTTTTGAAGGTTTTATTAAAAAATGCATGTCTTTCTATAGATATCCAACAAGATCGGCTCTTAATTTGACAGGAAACTTCTGTCCAAAAAACAAAATTGGCGAGAGGAGTATACATTTTAACCCTGTTATTGCATGGAATACTCTTCCGTTAGACATAAGAAATTGTACGGACAAGAAGACTTTCAGAGCTAAATTAAGGAACCATATTTTTAAAAACATGAATATACTCTGAATATATTCACTGTACACAATTACGAAATTTTTATATGACAGTACACTGTAATAGATATTTTTATATTATCCGATTTATTAAATTATATGACAAGTTTTTACCAATTTATGTGATGTAAATTGCGATTATGTCAGGCATAACGAGCTTTGTAAAGAAGCGAGCTTGATTAATAATAAATAAAAAATAAAATAAATAAGTACTGGTTTACGCAAATATGTAAATGTCTACGTAGTTAATTGTATAACTTGTTATTTTATTGAGGCGAAACAAGCACCTTTCTGAAAAGAAAAGAAAAGGGGAAAAGATTGTGGGAATTGATTGTTCTTGTGGGAAAGATTGCTACACGGATGAGGTCTCGTAAATATGTATGTACCCTGCTCGGAAACTTTGTTGCCCAGCGAGAGGAAAACACTCTAAAAGATAACGTTACACTTTAAATCATCTGGTAATAAACATTAACGAAGAGCATTTATTACCGAAGAGCATTTACAGAAGAGTATCGAGTATTTATATGACTCTGCCAAAGTGGCAATGATAAGTTGTACGGTGTGGTAAAGTTTTACCACCATGGTAACGAATTTTTACTACCTGGTAAAATAGTATGGCCAAATTTATTACCGAGAATTCATTATCTTCGTGACTTTTCCGGATTATTAAGAGTGTACCCTTTTCAAGTGGACATAAGTCTGAATTCGTTATTGAGTAAATTATACGAAATCAATGGTTCGCACCCTTTATCCAAGAAATCTAGTATTAAAATAATACCATGTGGTATTCGTGATGACTTATGACTCTACCGATGTGGGATTGATAAGCAGCTAAGCTTATGGTAGCTAATACCGTGTAGTAATAACCTGGTATTAAAGTTGTGGTCTTTCATTAGGAAATTTTTACGGAGCGGTATGTATGTACAATTTTAATACTAACAATGCGATCGTGTGAAGTGTAACCCTCAGATTTGGTTGAAATTTCGAAATTATGTGGTCCATGTCAATAAAACCAACGTTTCTTGAGGCAGTTTGTGCAATGGTCAGAATTTGGCAAAATATTTGAGGTTAAAGTTGAAAAACGGTCGATTTTTAGCACGCGGAAGAAGAAAACTCAACTTCCGTTCTCTTCAAGTGCTAAAACTTGCACATTTTTCAAGGATAACCTCAAATATTTTGCCAAATTCTTACCATCGCACAAACTCCCTTGAGAAACATTGGTTGTATTGACATGGACAACATAATTTCGAAATTTCAACCAAATCGGAGGGTTACACTTCACATCATCGCATTGTAAGTGGGATCAACTTTTATAACAAGAAATCGATACCCACATGACTACATACTTATACCAGATTTCTAAGAGTGCACAAAATATCTAAATACGTAAATGTGTAAGTGTGTATCATTGTTACTGAATTGTGTTTAGTCTTCGGTTTGGCTTGGACAAGGGAGAAGCATAATATTACGCAGTCTACATAAATATTCGAAGTCACGTAGGTATGGAAATTTAGAGACTGGCGCAGTAATAACTTAGGCAGACCTGGGCCAATCCAGATTAGGGATTCGTCATCCGGATTGGGATTAGTAGATCACTCACTAATTAATAATCCAAGCTTTAAAAATAATTTCTAATACCAAATCAAAATTATTCAAATCAACTCAACAAAATATTTATTGCAAAATTAATCCAAAATCTGGATTGGTCATAAATCTTATCAGAGTGTGTGAAGCTTAATTCCCCGAGTTTTACTGGTTTGGGAACGTCCATATATTACCTCATGATTTTAGTGATTGGGAGGTTTAGGTCCTTCTCTCTTTTCCCCGCGCTAAAATTCCATATCCCTTAATGTTTTCGTGGCGTGGGTAAATTTTGTGTAACATACACAGAGGTGTGAAAAAAAGGCGATTTTTGCATTACGTAATTTATGAACGTTCAGATATCTTAAAAACACCCTCCCCACACCCACCTTGATACATTAAGGGGTACGGAATTTTAACATGGGCAAGATAGGAAGACCTAAACCACACCCCCATCAAAATGATCACGTAATATATGGACGTTCCCTTAATACTTAGGGTACACACATACTCCACACACTGACGGATACCGGCGTTTTAAGAAGGAGGCCGAAGTTCAAACAGGAATTTTGAAATAGGACTCATCATCAAAAAACATGAACGTGATTCTGAACACGGTGGAAGACATGTAAATAAATTATAAATGAGCCAAATTAATTCAACACCCTTTACATACATGAACGATATCAGTGTAAAATTGCATAATGTATGTATCCCTCCCCCTCTGAAATAGATTCGTCACGGTCAGCGTCCCACTTTACGATACTATCGTCCCAATTTTTCGTAAAGTCCGGTTCTTCATCTTGCTCCCGTTTACCCCGATTTTGAAGCTGATCACGGACCATGCCTTCGCCCGGATCGGGGTTACGCTCGACTCCGACATGAAATCACACCCGGACATGGTTATCCTGGATAAGCGATTCTACGCAAGGTTATGGTCCGATCAGCTGATCGGTTTGGAGGAAATGTACGTCGACGAGTGGTGGAAGACGGAAAATATCCAACTTTTGTTTGACAAGATTATAACCGTTATTGACAAACATCGGTGGTTTTTCAAGTTCCACATCGCCCACTGGGAGGGAAGGTTTAGATGGGGCTTTTTGAACACGGGGCGGGCCGGGCACAACTTCAAAGCGGCGGAGGAATATGAACTACGTGAGAGTCTTTTGTAGTTAGATAATTTCCGATCTCAAATTACTCCAATGCTTAAAACTTGGCAATTTTTCTAGTGAAACTAAATCCTGCTCCAGCTTCTGCAAACTAAAAAAGTGGTGCAAAGTGACAACAAAATCCGTATCGTCGGACTAATTCCGAAAGGGCCAAACTGCAGTCGATGCTTAATTCCGAAATGGCCAAAGTGCAAGCGATATTTAATTCCGAAAGGGCCTAAGTACACAAAAAAAACTATTGAAAAGACCTAACTGCATTTTCAATATAACTACATATGTAACCGCAATCCCTGAAACTGGGAATATTTAATTTTGAAAATTTTAACCTTACGATTGTCTCGACCGACCTTTAGTATTGGACTACTATGGTAGAATTTTAAAAATTAAATATTCACAGATTCAGGGATTGCGGTTATATATGCAGTTGTATTGAAAATGCAGTTAGGTCTTTTCAATAGCTTTTCTAATGTACTTAGGCCCTTTCGGAATTAAATATCGCTTGCACTTTGGCCCTTTCGGAATTAAGCATCGACTGCACTTTGGCCCTTTCGGAATTATGTATCATCTGCACTTTGGCCCTTTCGGAATTAGTTCGACGGTATGTGTTATACCCAATTATGCCAGTGCATTACGGACGACTTGGGTAAAATCATAACAAAAATTGTGCAGAGTTGTGTGTGTGTGTGTGTTACCAGTTGAACTTGGGGCTGGGATCTCACATTACCCCAAATGGGCTCAATTTACCCCAAACCCGTCTAGACGGGCTATTAAACTTGTTAGGGTATAACGCAGATCGACTTCGTTGCCACCTTGCCTTACTTTTTCAGTTAACAAAACTTAGGGCAGGATTTGGTTTCACTCCAACATTTTGCAAACTTTTTAGGCAGAATTGGAATGATTTGACATCGGGGATGTACAATTTTATTAATTTGATTGTTTACAATGGTTATTTATGTAGCTGTCGAGTACTTCAAACTTCTCACCGACAAGGAGCACATGCAACACTCGGCCGGCTACTATGTCAACGGGGCGACCACGTATGCCGCCTCGCAGGTCGAGAAGCTCAAACTGATCGCGTCGAAACTTGAGCTCAAAGCGGGAATGACGCTGCTCGATGTCGGCTGTGGGTTTGGCGGTCTAGCCAAATTCATGGCGGACCGTCACGGGGTCAGTGCCGTGGGGGTCACGATTTGCGAATCGATGTCAAAGGCAGCCAGGAATCACTGCATTGGGAGCAAAGTTACCATTAAGCATCAACATTGGCGGGAAATGGAGGGGAAATTTGACCGCATTACGATCATTGAAATGTTGGAACACGTTGGGAAACAGAATTATGATGAGTTCTTTAGAAAAATAGAATCCCTCCTCAAACCTGGTGAGTTAATATGTTGTTTTACCTTACTCTAAAATATATAGGAAGTAATTTAATGTCTCTCCAAAACAATGGGAATCACCCTCCAAATACTTAAGAAGTTACCTAAGTGGAAAGCAACCTCTTATGCTCAAAATTTTACCTCCTGTTTAATGGAAGGAGCCTCTCATTTTGCATTCCTTTCATCGTTACAATGCATGTGACTAAATAAGGGGCGTAAGTGGTGTATCATAAGTACCTCCAAATCAATATCAAATTGTTTTTGCCCTTGGAAAAATCTGGGTAAAATTGACATGTCACATTGCCTTATAAAGTTTACCAGCACAGCTGGTGACCTTTGTGTCACCTTCAAGTCAGCTTTATATAGAGGTCAGGATTTAATTCGGGCTACAACATTTATGGGACAGACAGACAGCCGGACGGACAGACACACCTAACGATCTTATAAAGGGCTTACACCCCTTAACAATGACACCATGACTCTCTCACCCCGACGCTACAGTTTAGGTACAAAACCATAGTTAAAATTCGCGTTCTGGTAATTTTGTTTCTAAACGAAAAATACAAATAATCCGATTTAGAAGTTGGCTACCCGGCCAGTTTCCTAAGCCACCGATTCTTCCCGAATTTACCTACAATTTTTCCCAATATTTTTCTTTCCAGGTGGTCGGGTTTTACTTCAACATTACGCCATGGACCCTGGGACTCTGCACTTTACCGAATTTATCTGTAAATATCAATTCGGTCAGGTGTACTTCCCCGATTTCGCCGAGTTCGTTTCTCCGTGTTCCCGCTACTTCCGGATCTCCAACGTTCAGGACTTTTCCTTGGACGCAGAAGGATGCGGGCACCACTTTATCGGCATGATAGAAGATAATCGGGCCGAGTTGGAGGCCTTGGTGGGACCCAGGGTTGTAAGGGCCCTCCGAACCTCGTATGCGGAAGCCCTTGCCAATTCTAAGATCAGGAGCGTCATGATCTACCAGACCGTCCTGGTCGGAAAGGATGACCGGACCCGGGTACCGGTCCAGTAATCCAAATCGATAAGGCGTTAAACAAAATTCGCCCTAGATAATTTAGTGAAAATTAAAATTTCAAAGTTAAATTAAAGAAAATTACTGAATTATTTTTTTCTTAAATTAGGAAAATTAAAAAGTTAAAAAATAATAGGAAGAATCCACCACGGGGTTTGAAAGCTTCTGACTTTGCAGTTATATTTGTTTAAAAAGGCTTGAATAAAGGTTCCATTGTAAAATTTCCCATTTTTTAGGACAATTTTTTTATTGACTTAAAAAAATGTTCCCAAAAATTCAAATATACTATATTGCAAAACCTGTAATGTTGCAAATAACAATTTGGCAATGTAACAAATGGTAACTCGTGAACGATTTTATAACCAAGTTCTTCATCTCTTCAATTACTTGAATGTGACAAGTTACTCCTCAAGACGCTTACGTTTTGTATGTAACGATTATCTGGAAATATACATAAATAAGCCAAAATCCATATTTAAACTTGCAGGATAAGTAAAAATACTTTAAATTTCCGCTCACCGAATCTCTCGCATTATGAAAAACATCGCATAATCGTTTATAAAAGGCTAACTTTTCCTCTTCATCCCGCACATCGTCAACGTCAATTTCCACTTTTTTGACCGAATTGGCAATCAGAATTTGATTTTCTTTCGACGGAAGAAATGGCACGTGCAATAAATCCGTGCAGACATGTAAACTTTCCAAACTCGGGAAACAAACGTTATAATCAAGTTGTAACCAGTTTCTTATCACGGGTCTATCGCGAAACTCAATATTTTCAAAAGTTGTGGGGTGACAGACCCGGAAACTTTTGAGGGTTGGAAGGAATGGGAATCCCCACTTCACTTTTTCACACCCATCCGGCCAAGCCATATCGATATCGAGTTTTTCCAAATTGAGGGAATGTTTCTCGAGCAATTTGTACAGCATTAGGGGCAGTCTACTCAAGTATTGATCATACGCATCAAAGGAAACCTGATGGAAGGCAAGTCTTCTTAAAGGGGCTGGAATTTTAGTGATGTATTTTAGCATTTTGGCGTCCAATTGTCCCGTTAATTCCAAGCAATTAAGTGATCTAATTAAAATAATTAAGAAAAAGTGAGGCACATTTTCACCTAGATTACTGAATATCAGTATGGTCCATGTCAGAAAGGGGCCATGTATAAGACATGAGTAATTTTCGGGAAATTTTGTACCCCTACCACCACCAGTATGAGCTATTCGATCCAAGGTATAATAAACATGGGTAGGATAGGTTGCCTTAACCCCTCCCCCCTTCAATCCTTCACATGATTTATGTACAGTCCCTAACGAAGTCCTCTGCTCAATTGTTCAATTGTTACGTTACGTCACGCCACAGATATTAATACGTTTGAAAATTTCGATAGAATTGTCACAAACTTGACAAATGCCAATGACTAAATCATATTTTCAATAAAAATAATTATAATTATTTTTGGAGAGGTTATCTGGTATAAATATATGCCAGATAACCTCTCCAATTTCTAAGTGACTTCCTCTTTAAGGTACCAGATCCGTAATGTCCTTAGAAACCCTTGGGGGTACTTCGGCCCAGATTTTCTAAGCATTGGTTGGTGGTAGACGTTTTTTTCCAAAATAAAAATTATTTCAAATTTTATCAGGATTTTTTCTAAATTTTTTCCAATATGATCATATCATCAGTTCTCATGCAAAACGACAAATAGTAAAGCAAGACTTTGTTTAGTTAGTACACGCTAGCGTTTGATCCACTGCTCCGATCGACCGTATGAATAGATCAAAATGACCACCATTAGTTTTCGAATTTAGAGTGGTGGGTCAAAATTGAAGAAAAATGGACACCTGATTTATTTAATAATTTAGATAATACGAATTTTTTTACTGAAACTTTCATATCAATCGTGGGTGAAATAGACCCACAATGTTTCTGAGACTGAGAAGTGACCAATACATTATGACCCAATCTTTAGCTAATTTTTGCAAAAAGAACGGATTTTTTATAATTATCACAAATGGCAGTAGGAGTGTTTGAACGTGTGAAAAAATGGTGTTGCTATGAAGGGCGCACATAAGTTCTCAAATTCTCAAATTCTCAAAATTTTCCACCATTCTCTAATCTACACTGGAATACTAAAATTTATTTATCAATTTATTGAACTCATGATAACTTACTTATGCTTGTACATATATGATTGTACCTTCATGGGCCCGTAAGCGGCCTCAAAATGATAGAAATAAATATTCATTCATTCATTCATTCATTCATGAAGGGCGCACACAATTTAACTAAAAGCTGGAGAGCAAAAATTATGCAAAAGAGTAAAACTATGAGAATTTTGTATACAATTATTGATATCACAGTTTACAAAAAAAAGTACAATGGTAAGCCGCAGGGTAAAAAAAACACATCACAAGCTCGACATCTTCGGAGCAAAAGAGCTGCACACCTTCAGCTTCAACTGCAAAACTCCAAAGTACCGAGCGTGAGAACAATAGCATCTACAATTGCATTGGAAAACCTCCTCAAAATTACAACTTCTCATTCAGAATTTAGGCGAATTGCGATGCAGGCATTACAGGAAAAGAAGTTGAAAGCAGCAGCAAAAAATAACTAAATATCTATTGTATTTAGGAGCAATTATGTAATTTCTGTTTAGAATAATATGCTTATTGCTTGTATAATTTGGTCATATTGTGATACGATAAATTAATTTGTTATTCCGGTCAATAGTCGTCATTTTCAAGTACATACTCACTCTCAATGAAATCTAAATTTCACATTCTTCTGCATATCAGAAAAAAATGCCAGAAAATATGTTGCTATCAAGTAGATTTCAGTTTCTCGTACATTATAAATCTGGTACCCTAACATAGATCATAGGTCGAGAATAAACAAATACACATATTACGAAACTACTTACCGCGGAAAATTCGGCAGGAATCCCATCTTTCCAATTTCATATAACTGAGCACAATTAATCTTGAGATATTCCAACTTTGGCATAGCTTCCGTAATCATTTGGCCAATTCTTTCTAGAAGAAGAACATCATTCTCTCTCCGGTCCCAGATATCCCACAGAATTAGTTTTCTTAATTCTGAAAAAATCCTGCCACGAAGGAATGGGAAATAATCCATATCGTGTCTCCATTCAAACCTTAATTTCTTCAGAGTCGGGGCTGAATTCAGTACAATTTCGTCACAAAGGCCTTTCTGCCACTGTTCTGCTTTGTACACCTGGACAAAAATGGACCTGAGAAATCCCACCGGGGGAAAGATTTTGAGGTCCACTGGAGGCAGGGTGTATTCCAGTGGATTGAGAATCTCCAGGTGGACATTGTCCTCACAGAATTTCATTTTTTGGACGACACCGTCCCACATCTTGAGAGGATTCGTATCATTTTCAGGATAAAGTCGAATTTTTATCGTTGTCCTTTCCTTTAGCGTGGGGGTAGCACTGTAATTCCACGATTTGCAGACTAGTCGACACTGTTTTATGTCCTTGGTCCCAAGGAATTTGCAAAGATTAGGAATTACCTTCGAAGTGGGAAAAATAAATAATAAATTCAAAAGTGTGTTCAAATTCAAAGTTTCTGAGCTTCTTGTCTTACATCAGGAATAAGAACAGGTGCAGAATGAGTTCCAGTCATTGTGCTATTTTCTTCAGTGGAGTATGATAAGATTTTTCATGTCCCCCCTGCAAAAAGTGTATAGTAATGCAAACATTGTGTAAATAATGCACTTATGTATGTATTTTCGGAAAGCACAGGATACTCGGCTCACCTCAGATTTTTCCTTCCACATGATTACACGATAACAGTCAATGAATTAAACGTATATTTAGCTTATGTAAATATAATACGGGTGTAATTTTTATTTATTGTATACTGAAATTTAATTCGTGTCTTGGAAAAAATATACAGACAGTATGGAACAGATGACATACATACATACGTATGCATGTAAATATGTACATATGTATGTCTGTGATGACGACCAAATCACATGGCAGGAATTGTGTATGTCGAGATGATGTGACGAGTACGACCACGTACGTACATAGATAAATACGTACATATGAAATTAATCACGTATGTATGTATTTAGCCAGGATTGCTGCTGCCTTAACCCCACCATCACTTCATATCTGGACTTTTTCAGCCGTATTTTCAGTTAAATCAAACCCCCATTTATATATTTGGAAATAATAGGTACAATTATTTTGCAAAACGCACCAAACGCAAATTACCAAACTGACCTCTAAATTCAGAAAAGTTGTTATAAACTTCAGAATAATTTTATCAGAGATTCCTAGTTATATTGGACCAAATTTAGACGGTAAAAATGCTGAAAACACTATTTCACTGTCTACTACTGTACACTCTTAGCAAATTTTAAACCAAATCAACACAATCCGGAGTGCATATATGACTTAACCGGATTTGGAATTGATTTAACACGATATTGTGTAAAAATCAAAAGGTTCCCCAGACAGTGTTGATTTGTCACAATGCAGTGTAATACGTATACCGGCTAGGATATAAGCATTTAACTCTGTACAATGATGAAATAATTCTATTTGGAGTAAAGCTACTGTTATTTTGTAAATATATGTACACGAAGTTGTGTTGATTTTATTCCGGCCCGGAATAAACATGATACGCAATTGTGTCGAATAAACACTACAATTTAATGAATTTTACTCCGAATTGAATTGATTTCTACACAGGGTTATGTCAACAAAGATTACCAATTTTTATTGAATTTTACAGTTTTACGTCAAATAGGCAATACAATATAAAAAAACCAACAATAATAATGTAATAATTACAAGTGATGTCTTAACACTAAATATAAAGAATCCGATTTACAATTTCGTTGTATTTCAAAACAATCGTGTATAACTAAATCGTTTACGTTAACTAAAATATATACGTCAATTTTAGGTTCTAATTTATATGCAAAGTAATGTCTCTCAAAATATTTGACATCATATATTTTAAGGAGCAAAAGACAAATATTTTCATTGGATATAATAAATTCTGAAATCATTCCAAATTTTGGAAAGACATTTCCTATTTCATAACAAACAAAATATCCCTGTTTATAATTGTACTCGCGGAACCAAATCTGATTTGTAGTAAATATAATTGTATTAGCATCACAATTTTTGTAAGCCTCGCAAAGTCTTAAATTCTCAATTAAGTCAAATGAATCGTGAAATTGAGAAAGTTTAGCGGAAATAATATTATCTGCTTTTAAATCGGGACTTTTATCACGGGAATGTAGACAATGAGACATGAATTGTTGATGACGCATAGCTAGAGAAAAGCAGACGTTTTTAAAATTTTTAATTTGCGAAGCTAGTTGAGTAAAATAATAATGTTTTGCTTCATATCTCATTGTCCACTGCGAAACTAAAGGACCCGTTTGTTTTATACCATAAGCATAATGAGTCATAAAATGATGCTTCGGAATAAGCCTTTCAGTTGGAAATATTTCACGAAATAGTTTATGATGCGCTATGACTCTGTCATTAAGAAGCTGCAAACTCGCTTGAGAGAATTTCCTACAAAACGCAAGACTCATAATCTCCAAAAGTTGAAGTAAAAGTTCCCAATATTTTTGATGCTCTTCATCTAGAATTAAATCCCCAAGAATTACAGGCAAATGCCTGACTAAGCACCAAGCTTGAGCAGCTTTTTGCCCAATTCTATTACCTGTATCTAAACGAATTGGACTTGGACGGTTTTTACTTTCCAAATTACCGAAATCATGAGTAACTATCCTTTGGTTGACTATTCCAAAGTACAACATCGTAATGAGATGAACTTTTGTAAAACTACCTTAATTTCATATGGCACGACCCCTTCTAATAAATCGTGCATAATATCTACACTAGGAGACTTCAGAAAATCGAAATATTTCAATTCATCAAGTGCATAGGCTGACTGGACACCAAAAGTCTTGTCATGTAAATGTTTCGCGTAATTATTTCTATCCCTAAGGATCATTAAATTGTGATCAAACAAATCCTGGGCTTCTAGTTTTGTGGTACAACAAATTCTACAAAAATTATGAGAATTAAAAGATTCTGTCATGCCTAACAAAGAGTTGGCACCTAAATTGTCGCAAGATAAGCTGCATATTGTTCCATACATTGTCTTATTTTCATTCGTTTGAATTCCATCAATTTCCAATATTTTAAAGTCTCGAATAACAAGTTTTAAGATTTCGCCAATTCCATACTTTTTAGCATCTTCTGTATAAAATAAAGCAAGTAAATAAATTTGACTTAATTTTGAATTTAAATAATCTGGCAAATTTTTTAGAGTAAAGTATAACGCCCCTAGTTTATGGATTCCACGTTTTGAACCCAAAGGGTTAACAGTTTCAAAATCGTCATAAAAAAGTTGAATTTGAAGAGAGTCTGGAAATTTTGAGAACAATAAATTTCTTTTATAAGAGTTCGTGTCACTAAATGTTTCTATAGCGTTGGAATTAATTTTGTTGCTGTTCGCAAAATAATATGAGATCACTTCAGAAGCAACAAGTTGTTTTAAAGTTTTAAGTAATGGAATATACATGAATGTATCGGAAACAATTACTTGTTGCCGCTTATTTTCCTTTATTCTCAATTCAGTTCTGCTACCTAAAGATATTTCTTTCGGCAAAATTATTTGAGAGTTTTTTTCAAACAATTTTTGTCTTTGAAAGGATGATTTTATTGCTGAAAATGCTTCCATCAAACCCTTTGTTAAGCAACTGAATTCCTCAAAATCACCCTTGCAAAATTTTCTCCCTAAATTTAAAACCAAACTAATTACTTGAGTTAAACTAAATTTTAATTCTTGAATAACAAAATCTACTGTAGAATTTGTTACCCCCTTAGCTAGGAGAGATGAACAAAAAAGTACTTCAAATTTCTGTCATTATCTGTATGCCATCATCAACAGAAACATCTTCATTTGAATTTTCTACTTCTGTCCCCTCATCAATCCCATCAGTGGTCCCTATCTCTGCATTATTATATATTTCGTGTACTCCTAATTCAATACAATCGTCCCTAATTTGTTCTGTCTCATTATTACCAATATTTGAATTGTGGGACTTTAAGTGCCTTAAATATCCACTCCATGTGTTCTGCTTACTTAAACAATTTTGATATGGACATGGAGCCCCTTTAAAATTTCCACTACCTATATTATGAATATATTTAATGTGGACCTTAAATTCCTCAAACCGACTAAACAACTTCTTGCATATTTGGCAAACTATCATTTTTAACCTTCAACTATGTAACTAAATTTAACCCTAAATTTGTTGGTCCCCGCTTGTGCTGTGCGCTGAAAGACTGAACAGTTGTTGATATACTTGCTTAACTTTTGCTGGTATTTTCGTGTTGTTAATCTCCAAATGTATGAACTTGTATGAACTTCCATAATCCGTCTAGATTCTTGTCATATTTTGTTCCGATTACGTAGTGACCCTTAAAGAGTCGATTGCTTGAGTGGAATTTTTTGCACTAAGTGGGATCGTAAGTCGGTCGCAAATTAAAAAGTAACTTGACGGAGAAGCTTTGTTGTCCCCAAAGTAAATTAATGTAGGCTGAGTAACATCCGGATCCCAGTTGTCCAACACTGTTTGAAGCGGTGTCCCACTCTAAAAAATATAGATGTAGCTTTTTACCATCAAATAACATAATTTGTACACAACCTTTAAATTACATAGTAAAATGTGACCAGCCGTGATTTCGCTTTTTCTATTGAACAGCGTCCTCCTTGTCCTTTACCCCTGGCTGTGGGAGGAATAAGATAGAGCAGCACAAAAAGAGCCAATGTCGACTGGTCCCATTTATCTGATTAAATAATAATACAAAATTTAATTGTTTATATAAATTAAATCAATATATAAATAATTCAAAATAATTTTCGTAAGATTTTACCGAACTCTTCACGTAAAAACTTTTTAAGTGCTTGAGATTTATTATTAACTCGCTGGCGATTGTCCAAAAGCTTTTTCACAAGATTTGGCCACTGTATAAGAAAATTGTCCTCAATTCCCGGGTGCATGAGGGAGAACTCAAGATTTATCTAAGCGCACACAACATAAAATATGGTGAAAATGTTTCAAAAATTGATCAAATAAAAGACTTAAAACATACTAAAAAATCGCATTCAGTGAACTTTCTATAAACTTTAAGGATAGAATTCTCATTTGTTTTTCTTAAGTAGGCCCGATGTTGAAAAGTGGCTTCAGTTAGACGAATAATATCGGCTTCAATTGTTGTCGAATTCAATTCGTCAATAATATTTTGATTAAGCTGAGGAGGTTCTTCCGCTTCGGATGTACCCTCGTTTGCATGTTGGCCTGTTTGTCCTGCGTTGGCCTTTCTTTTTAATAATTTATTTTCCTTGATGGCAATCACATTTCGATGGATCCACCGTAGACGGTTTTGTATTAAACCTGAGCGACTTTGGTCATCGTATAGAATGTCCTACAAAAGGAAATAAATAATGAGTATAAAAAAATATACATAAGTGCTGCTAAGATGGACAAACATTTATTAGTAAAACCAACTAATAATAACCGAACCATGAATTTATACTTACAATTCCTTCTGGTGATCCTGGATATTTCCAGCAAGGAATCAAACTAATTATCGATTTCGCAAACAATTTCTGATCGTTAGTAGATGGTGAATTTCTGATAAACATAAACAAAATGATTTCATAATTATTTAAGGTATATATCAAATTAATGTTTTTCATAATTACCCTTTTAATGAAACAAGCACAGAAACAAATTCATTGACAAATTTTGTAGCCGCCACTGAATCGACAAGGTTCGCTGAATTGCAGGTTTCAATCAGCTCTTTAAATTCAGGGTGTCTTTCGACATGAGCATCTAGCGCCTAAAAATATTTATTAGTATTTTATTTATTTTA